TTTGTTTGTCTGTTTCCACAGCATACCTTAACCTATCCTGACTAACAAAGAAACTTTTTTCACATAAATAAGTAGATAAGAATGAAAGGAGGTTTGTTATAGCAATATAACGCCATTATTTGAATTCCTTTCTCATATGTCCTAAAATTACAGTGATCCTTCATTAAAAATTATTATTTGACTGATAATTTGATTACATCCTCCTTGAGTTTTGCTTAAAGCAAAGAACTGGAAACACTTGGTTTGCAAAAGGATTTGTTACTCAGTCGGAGTGACTCACTTTGTCAATTTCCTAGACGTAAAATTAAAAGGCTTTACTAAGACTTTTCAAATGACTATTAATTATGCCTGTTACTCTTTTTTTTTTTTTTTAAAGATTTTATTTATTCATTTTTTTTCCCCCCAAAGCCCCAGTAGATAGTTGTATGTCATAGGTTCACATCCTTCTAGTTGCTGTACGTGGGACTCGGCCTCGCGTTGGACGGAGAAGTGGTGCCTTGGGGCGTGTCCGGGATCTGAACCAGGGCCGCCAGCATCAGAGCGCGCACACTTAACCGCTAAGCCACAGAGCCGGCCCTATGCCTGTTACTCTTTCACTTATAGGCACCTTGTTTTACCTGATATACAAAGTAAGGTTGGGAAAAATGAAATATTGTTAATTTCATTATACTTTTGTCAATACTGTTTTCCTATTAACATGTCTTTATCTTAATATATGCTTTAATCAGAACACTAGAGTTGCAAATTTAGTTTATTCAATTAATGAAAAATATTCATCATAAAACTTAATTGGTAAAGCCAATCCTCATTGTCAAACCCATAAGCCAAATAAGACAATGTTCAGAAAAAGTCTGATTTCATTTTTCAATTCAATAAGCATGCTAATACTCTCATTTAGAAATTTAAGATAGATAAAGCATAGAGCTTTGCCCTGAGCTTTCCACTAGGATAAAGTAAGACATCAGGTTCTTCTTATCAATATCTACACTCTCTTTACTTTGCTTTCACCAGATTTTCTCTCCAGAAATATTTTCTTTGACAACAGTTGGGGGCTGGATGAGATAAATTCTTAAACAAAAGTAGTTATCACTCATGCTGTTCCACTATACCATATATACTAATTTCGAATATCCCAACATGGGGCAAAATAACTCATCACGTCATCCTTAACAGAAAAATGTATGAACACAGGGAAAGACATGAGGCTCTACACTGGGTTTATAATTCCTTTATTAAAGGACGCTTCACTGATATTATTACTTTGAAATTTTTTCGTTTGGTTCCGTGGAGGATTTTCCCAAGGTAAGCCATCATAGTAAAATTTGGAGTGAAAGCCATGTCTTTCTTTCTTTCTTTCCTTCCTTCCTTCCTTACATCCTTCCTTCCTTCCTTCTTTCTTTCTTTCTCTCTTTCTCTCTTTCTCTTTCTCTCTCTCTCTCTCTCTCTTTCTTTTTTTTAAGGTAGAGACAGGCATTTGTGCAAAGAGAGGTGAGAAAGAAGAACCAGCATGACACCTTGATCTCCAGGATGTTCTCAGACAAGTCAGTTCTAAGAAAAAATATATATGAAGGTTAAAGGTTCTGGAAACTAAACTCCTTAAAAATATCCATGCTCCTATATCTCTTGGAAATCCTTATGCACCTTCAAGGTATGTGTCCTCAGTTTGAAGACTATTAACTTAGAGAATGTATTTCAATAGCCCACGGAAGCTACATGATTAATCAAAGATAGATCTCAAGTTAACTTCTTCTGTCAGGCAGAGGCAGGAGATCCATTGCGGGACTCCAATGCCTTAGGAGATGGAGGCCCTATTATACTGGAGGAACTTGGACCCCTGAATGACTGAATAGAGCAAAGTCCTCCTGCAAGCCCATGTAGGTGTAGATGAGAAATAAACCTCTGCTGTGTTAAACCACTGAGATCTCGGGATTGTTTGTTACGGCATTTAGCCTCCCTGACTAATAGGGTAGCTGATGGTACTAGATCGGGTCTCAGTACTACAGGGATGAAGTGGCCTTGTAGCTAAGAACTACAATGTCCAGGTAGGGAATTGAATAGGAATCATAGCCAATTCTCTGGGGATACGGCAGTGCCAGGGAGAGCCTGGATGGGGCCAAGTCAAAGAGAATAGACTACAGGTTGCACCAACTACAGGCTTCATAGCAGATGCCCAGGCGAATTCCCAGGAGTGGGGCCAGACAACTACCCTCACTGGACATCAGATAACACACATCCACAGTCAGTTATCACCTTCTCCCTCCAGTACCTCAAGGACACAACAAGTTCTCGAATATCCAACCATTGTTTTGAGGAGGGAAAGGAAATTCCAAAAGACTGACTGTTTATCTAAAGAGACCATCTAATCCGCCCTTGATAGGGAATAGAACTTTCAATAGAAGAAACATTTAAACTGAAGGAAGACTGTTAGAATTGGAAGAGTCCAAGATATCTTTAACTGGAAAATCCAAGATTTTCCATTACTCAGAGTCATAGAAAATAATTGATTTTTTTTGGAGAGGGGCACATTAATTATGTACGAATGAGTTTGTGACTCTGCTACTTTTTTTATTTTCATGCTGTAGCTGTGAAACGTAGTTCAGATTAAAAATAGATGTGGAAAAAGTTTTTAAAAGTACACATATATGAATAAAACAGAATACTTCAGTACTTTCTATTTCTGAAATTTCAGTAATGGGAAGGAGTGCATGATCTGTGCATGGAAACAGATTCCCTAGAGATGTGGTTCAATATTAAATATCAAAGTACAGAGCATTGACAAGAAGTACAGTTTCTTTCTGAAAAACCACTTTATTAATGACATATTTTGTCAAATTGTTATGTGTGACTATTCCACTTCAATATACCTTGACAGGAAGGATAATTGATTAGCAGTTTTTACCAAGTCTACTGAAAAGAACAGAACTTTAATTTCACTTGACAGATTGTTAAATTGGGCTTTCATACCATCTGCGTAATTCAACTCAATTATTCTTTTGAGTCATAAATATACAACTGCCACATAATATAATATCTCTTAAAAAATAAAGTCCCCCAAAATAAAAAAAAATCACGGAAGTTGATTGTCCCAGCATATAAACTACACAGCAGTCGCAAAGAGCTGCTTTTGGAAGGTGTATTAATGTTTCAGGCCACAAGGCCTTCCTTCTTAGAGCATGCTCTTCAAACTCTATTTCTAGTGATGATGGTTTTCCACTTAGAAATTTATTCACACTTTCTCCCGGAGCTCCACCTTGTGACTAGTGGCCCCCAGTTTTGAGGCAGCTGGTTGTAATAATTAAAATGCACACTCTGGGGAGGCCCTGAGAGTCCCTCAGCTTCTCTCTGTTGTGGGACCTTACTTAATTTTCCTAACCACCTGATATTTTCTACTTCTGCATTCCTTTACTGGGTTCCTGTCAGTTTTCCTTCATTAGAAAATAAGTGCAATGAAAACAGATCTCACTGACTTGCTTACCCCAGTACCCCAGTTCCTACAATGGCACTTGGTTCTTAATAGGAACTTAATAAATGTTTATGTAATGAGTAACTTTTGAATACTGGTCATGAAGTCATGTTTCCTTATAAGAAATTAATGAAGGAGGATCAAATCTTTTTAATTTATGGACAGTATCATGCTTTTAAGCCAGCCCTGGTGGTCTAGTGGTTAAGGTTCAGCACCCTCACTGGCACGGCCCAGTTCGTTTCTCGGGAACCACACCACCTGGTTGTCATACTGTGGCAGGTGGTGGCTCTGTGTTGCTGTGATACTGAAAGCTATGCCACTGGTATTTTAAATACCAGCAGGGTCACCCATGGTGAACAGGTTTCAGTTGAGCTTCCAGACTAAGACAGACTAGGAAGAAGGACCTGGCCACCCACTTTTGAAAAAATTGGCCACGAAAACGCTATGAATAGCAGCAGAACATTGTCCGATACAGTGCTAGACGGTGAGAGGATGGCGCAGGAAGACAGGGCAAGGGTTCCACTCTGCTGTACACAGGATCGCTAGGAGTTGGAATCAACTTGATGGCATTAACAACAAAATCATGCTTTTAATCATTATTTACTCCACTAACTAGTGACTCCACTAACTAGTCCAACACAAAAGGATGTGGTTCCCCAAAACCATAGTTTACTAAATAGAACACCCCAAATAAACTCATTTATATAACACATGTATTTAGATTACTACTGGAGAGTAATTTATTTAGTACTTCCCAACATATCGTCTAGTCTGGTTGTAATGGGACTGTAATTTAGATCTTCAATTTTTCCTATTTAAATTGAAGTCACATTTTATATCTTTTGGTTGTTGAGTGTTACGTATTATTTTATACCTTTAGTTTTAAATAAGGCCCATGAGTTTTAACAGTATTAAGATCTCAATAAATTCCTTTAAGCTTATCTACAAGACGTTTTTAACTATCAAACTTAGTCATCATTTAATAATTGAAAATTTTAGGCCACATTGTGTGGTTGCTTATGAAAGTGTGCTGCTATCCAAGATCTTTACTATTTAAAGAAAGATTATTTTTCTTCTCCTTTAGTTTGATAAGTGAGAACTAATAAAAATGAATGTCACTCTAAATATTAGTTTAGAGCCCAGAACCTGTGAGTTTTAAGCTTAGAAATTAGTATTTCCCAAACCTAATCAGTTAAACTGATTGAATTTAACCCAAATCAGTTAAAACTGATTGAATTTAAAAGATTGCATTAAAAACAAACAAGAAACCTTTCAGAAGCCTTTTCTTTTGCCTCTCATATACAAGTGGAGGGTTTTAAAATTTGTTTTGCTCTCCCCTTCTCTCTTTTAAAGAGTGAGTGTGAGTAAATGTCTTAATAGATACCAGATTAGTTTAAAAATTCCCCCCAAATTTTGGTAGAAACATTAATGCAAAAACTATTATTCACATTGGTTTGAGAGTCTTCAATAGGGAGTTTCTTTTAATAGCTCCTGTTTTCTGAATAATAAGACTTGTATAATTTCCCCTTTTTAAGAATAGATCACAGTTTGGGGAAATGAATAAATTAACACTCATCTGATTTGGTTACAGTTCAAAACCAGTAATCACTTTAAGAATAATTCAACTAGTGACACAATTTCACATTATAATGGCATCTGGTCTGGAAAGGAAAATACAGAGGAGACTCTCTTATGGTCTTCTTTACTTATCCTCATGGCTGTGGCCTTCTCTGACTTCATTATTATTGGTCATTCTTCTCAAGATCAGAAATGAAAATATTCTCTTCTAAATGGACTGTACTAAAGTTGGTTGTAGGATAGTAAGTATTCTCAAACCCTGCAAGTCTCCTGAAGATACGACTCTTGTGCTTGTATATGCAGAAGGAAAGTGTGGAAATTGCCAGAATTACTATCAGTGTCAGTGCCACTGCAAGAGGTACAATGCTGTGACTTGGTCCTGAAAGAAGGTGAAAAAAAGGAAAACTTCAATGACGATAAAGTAAGATAGATACTGTCACATAGTTATTTCTTATTTTATTATTTCTAAGAAAAATCAAAATCTTCCCTACTGTTCCGAACCTACCTTTTCCTGGATGTTCCTTTACTGTGTGAATATCTAAAATCAAATACAAAAAAAATACTGAGATGAAATTTTCCTTTTAATTCAGCAAAATTATGTCATTACTTATAGCAGGGCTCAGCAAACTATGGCCCACGGATCAAATCTGTTTGCCTGTTTCTATAATTACTGTTTTCTTGGAGCTCAGCCACGCTCCTTCATTTATGTATTATCTATGGCTGCTTTCATCCGACAATGGCAGTGTGACAGAGACCATCATGGCCCCCAAAGCCTAAAATATGTACTATCTGGCCCTTTACAAGAAAAGTTTGCTGGCCCCTGATTTATAGGAATCATTATTAGTGCTCACAAACACATACGCTACTTTTTTTTTTAAGCTGAAGAACTCCCATCCAGTTTCAGCACCGTGCTGCAATAAAAATATAAATAAAACATAGTCTCTGTCCGCAAGGAACTCAGTTTGGTTGGGATCTGACATGGAGTCTGTCCAGCAATGATAAACTCCCTGCTTCTATGCAAGGATTTTAAAATCAACACCTTCTTACCTTTGTGGTCTCAAGAATCTTGGGAAATGAATAATGGCTCCACCATTCAAAAAGTTAGATGGCTCTTGTTTGAGGATTTTCTACTGTAAAAACGTATCTCTTTCAAGTAAACTCTATCTCAAAATTTGAACTCTGCTATTTTGATCTAGGTAAAGATCCAGAGGATATGTAGAGAATGACCCAGAGGAAGATCAGTAAAGGATTTGTGAGTGGAGGAGGAAGTGCCTTGGTGCACTACTTATGCCCATTCACTCTTACAGACTTAAAAGAAACATCAACATTGTTACCAATAGTAAAACCATATTTTTCTGTGTGTGTGAGGAAGATTGGCCCTGAGCTAACATCTGTGCCAGTCTTCCTCTATGTTGTACGTGGGACGAGGCCACAGCATGGCTTGATGAGCAGCGGGCAGGTGCAGGTCCGAGCCCGCCAACGCCAGGCCGTCAAAGTGGAGCGTGCGAACTTAACCACTATGCCACCAGGCCAGCCCCAGACTATATTTTTTAAAAAACCTTTTTTTGCAACTTAAAAATAAAATTGTATAACTTTGCATAATATTATTTAAAACATGTATTAGTGTGTGTGTGTGTGTGTGAAGATACTTTTTAAAGAAAGACTGTTAAAAGAGTATTTATTCTCAGAAGGGAGGCAGTGAGCAGGTGTAGAAGGAGCCCATGGCCAGAAAATTTGGAGTGTAATCCTCCATGTAGCCTCAGTTTAGACAACTACTTTTCTCATCTGTAAAATGGGAATATCTTATCTGCTTGACTGCCATGGAAAGTTGCTGTGAAGTACGAAAGAGGTATCCTACGTGTTATAGGAAGCTCTAAAGTCCTATACGGACACGGAGTATTTCTGATTTGTTCTTGATGCTTAAATACTAGTGATCACTTGGGCAAACTATTTATTAGGCTTAGTCCTGTTTTCCATACAGAGTTGATATTGACACTACTGGGGCTTCAAACATTGGTGCCACATCTACCAATTTTTTGCTCCTTCATTCCCAGTATCTCATCAGTTACCAAGGCCTGATCATTCTCTTTTCCCATTTCTACCCTCCTTTTTTGTCCCTAGTTCTGTCACTCAAATTAAAATTGCCTCCCTTTACATCCAGATAAGTGTGACTCCACTGCAGCTGTCTACAGAGCACATGGAGGTCCCTGCCTCCTTCACCATGAGGTTCAGCTCTTCACAGCACTCTCTGTGAATGGATCCTACATCACTGCCCAATTTTACTCCCATCGCCACCCAATGTGAGCCCTTCACTCCAATCTAAGCCCATTCTCAACTGCTGCCTTTAATCATGCTGGGACTTTGTCCGAAATGCCTTCCCTCCTCTGTTCTCTTCATCCTTTGGGATTCCAAAGCCTCATCTTCTCTCTGAAGCCTTCTCCAGTGGCCCAGGCCACACCAATCCCTCCTTCTTTATAATACTAGTATCTAGAACTGTTGCAATTATTATAAACATTGTGCTACGTCAATGATCTCATTAACAGCCTATTTTAGAAATCCCTGCTATTGTTTGCAACTGACTATAATTTTCTGGGTTAGATTTCTAAAATGTCCTTACAAACTAAGTATGTAGCTCAAGATGAAGCTAAATAGTGACTTTTATGACATAGCTTGCAACAGAGAATCACATCTACTTATTTATAACAGAGATGCCTAGGCCTAGATTATATTTCCTGGGACCAAAGATGAACCTTAAAAATTCTAAGTAGGAGTGGCCAGAATGAGGCTAGCTGGTTTACATTTCTGGCTCTATTTGCTTGAGGTACACTGCTTTTTTGCCCATTAGGTTAACAGCTGGGTGACACAAGAAAGTCATAGTCCTTGAATTGATTTATAATGCTTTTTTTTTTCATATCAGAGAAAGAAGGAGCTGCAATGTCCTTTGACTCTTTTGATGTAGACCGAGAAGATAATGTCAGAATCTATCTGAATCCTCTCTGAATACTTGGATTTTAAAACCTTTAAATGCTAAGGAGGTGGGTCAACATTAATCGGAGTAGAATCAAAATGAAGAATCACACTCTAACTTTACTCACCTGCCTCCATTTTACATATGAATCCTTTTTTTTCTTGGCATGGGGATAACTGCCACACTCCTTCGGGGATCCTCAGGGCAACACACAGATGCGGTTGGACGTGGTCCATCTCTGGCTTCCGAATGCCCCAGTTTGACTGGTCTGTGGGAGTTCCATCAAACCACTTTATGGTTTCATCTGTGGAAAAATTGCTGACTTATTATGAATTATGTGCATGGTTATCAAACATACTAAGACTGGAATGAACCACAAAAAGCAGCCCCTAAATTTAATGAGACTTTCTTCTTATTTAATGCATTCAACTCAGTAGGTACAGTCACGAACTTAACAACAAAAGGTAGGTATTAGTAAAGATGCCTTGTGAACAACTCTATTTATTTTAGATATATTGTTCTAATTTAGTTCATTTAGGATATATTTCTTAATGTAACAGTTTGAATTTTGAAATATTCCATATCATTATAATCAATTTAAAGAATTCATTTCATAAACCAAACTAATCAATACAGAGAAAAATCCAATAGGACCTAACATCCAAATCATTACAAAATGGCTCACTTTCTGAAAGAATTTTACAGTGAGTTTCTTTGAATAGCAAGCAAGTGGTGTACCAAGGGGTGGGGGTGGTGGGAGAGTCCACCCATGTATAGGCAATAAGAGGGTGCATTATCTGAAAAGGATTTAGATAAAAACTAAAAGTCGGTCAGCTTTTTATTGCCACCATGTGCTAGAAATTCTAAACAAGATCGGTGATGGAAATACTCCTCCTCACCAGGGTGGCCCCTTCTCCACTTTGGTACAACACTCTAACAAGCTTTCTATACCAATTAAAATAATTTTCTTTTTTTTTTTACACTTTTTTTTTCCCTCCCAAAGCCCCAGTGCATGGTTGTATATTCTAGTTGTAAGTCCTTCTAGTTCTTCTATGTGAGCCATCGCCACAGCATAGCTACTGACAAATGAGTGGTGTGGTTCCATGCCTGGGAACCGAACCCGGGCCGCCAAAGCAGAGCGTACTGAACTTTAACCACTAGGCCATCAGGGCTGGCTCTAAAATAATTTTCTTTACATGTACTTTCAATAACCATCACTTACATAAAGGAAAGACTACCATGCTCTTATTTGATTACAAACTCTGGTTTTTATGAGTAGCAAGTAACAATTCTAATAGCACAATTTATCACTGAAACACTTCCATTACTCTATGGTGTTTTTATAACATTTAGGAACCTGGGGTAGTTTCAAGTAAATATGGTTTTGGTGTCTATGACTTACCCTGTGACTACAAAGTTCCAGTTAAGCATCTTCATGAAGTGAGGGTAAATATAAGATAAACTGTTTGTTTTCACTTTTGGTACTGTGGGAGTATTTTAAAGGACAAGACGGTAGAGAGAAAAGAGTTAGCAATGTTGTCTTTGCAAGAAACGGCTTTAGGACTCATGCTATTTTTTCACAGCAAGTGTATCCAAGGAGAGCGTTCTGGTTTGCAGAAGCCATTTTCATCAGCGTTGACCACTGTGTATTTATTTATGCCCTCTCCTCTTCTCTACCCAAATTACTTACTGTCACCATCAAACCGAGCATTCAACCAAACCATGTGGACAGAAGAAACAAAAGCAGAAAGCTCTTCTAGGAGAAATGAGTTTTCAGCCTCGTCCTTGATTGTCAAAAGATTAGATCCTATAAAAGAGACCAACAGCAAATGAACAAGTATTTGTGTTTACACATAAATACAATTTAAAAAAATGTCTCCTATACCATAATTTGTAAAGTTCAGGCATTTAAAAGTGAAAATTTTCATTGTAAATATGTGATTTTTGATTAAAAATTTAAAAGTAAAACTACATTTATTAAAAGATACAAGCTTGTACTTTAGAAGTTAAAGCGTAGAATATTAATTTTAGGGAACATTAAAAATTCATAATTCAAACACATTCAAAAGGAACATTTTCTTGGGAAAACACAGCATTCTGAGACAGCACCTTAGGTTTTCAAATTCTATACTGGACATTGAGTTTCATATATCAGCCATTCCCCAAACAAGCAAATTCAATAGTATTTATTTTTCCAATGGTTTTTGTTGCTCCTAAAGTCACCAAATAATCAGACAAATGAAGAAAACCACATTGTTTACTGAAATGTCAAGAAGGAGCACATTGAAAGCATTTCACCATCACAAAAGAATTACCTTCCTTTTTGCAAAATTCATGAGCAGTCTCAAAACTTGTACTGTCTAGGACTGTAGAAAAACTGTAGCAATTACTTTTGAATTTTATCCACGGGATAGATGTTTCTGAGCACAACTCTGGGTATCCAAATGCTCTTGTTTCTGTAAACAAAAATCAGTTATGATTTCAGGGTGGTGACTGGGTTCGTTTATTGAGATAAACATTGCATTACATTCTATGAAAGACCAAGATAAATATATGTGATGAGATTTTCACGGTAATACTCTGAAAGAGTGGGTTTAATGTAAATGGTTATAAAACTAGGACTAGTTTATAGCGTTTCTGGCAGAAATAATCTTTACCTACACATAACAGAGTATATTAATGCATAACTCCATGGGCTTAGTTTGGGTGCTGCCTGGGTGAGGATGGCTGTCTTTCATGTTTACAATTAGTATCCTCACGGTTGGAAAAACTGGGGGATGTGATTCACAGAAGTACCGGCAGCTGAATGGCACTTCCAAATGTACAAAATGTGTTCCATGCAGTGCTGAATATTACAGATTTAAAAATTCCTTACCTACTAGTAGACCTACGAGAGAAAATAATGCATTCAATAAAATATCATAACATAACCTAACATAACAACACGTAACTAAGGGAAGTTTGAGGTGGACTTTGCTTCAGAGGGCAAGCATGAGAGTCAGACACACCCATGTGAGATCCTGGGTGTATGGCTGTGGGTATGTTACCCAACCTCCTTACACTTTGGTTTCTTTATCTATAAAAGAGAGCTAATAACAACATCTTTTTTACAACTTGAGAAGTTTAAATAACCTAGTGCCTGAAACCTCTTAAGCACTCAATAAATGCAGTGTTATTGAAAAGGGAAGACTAACTTTTATGGTGTTTTAGAAGCAGAATTAGCTTTTCCAATATATGTGGCTAACATTTACACTTTTATTGTGAATTCCTTTTTTTTTTTTTTTTTTTCTGAGGAAGATTCACCCTGACCTAACATCCGCTGCCAATCCTCCTCACTTTTTTGTTTTTTTTGCTTGAGGAAGATTAGCCTTGAGCTAACATCTGTGCTCCTCTACTTTGTACGTGGGACACCACCACAGCATGGCTGGTGAGTGGAGTAGGTCTGTGCCTGGGATCTGAATGCCTGAACCCAGGCCGCTGAAGCAGAGTGTGCGGAACTTTAACCACTTGGCCACAGGGCCAGGCCCAATACTGAACTGTTTGGGCTTGAAGTTACATAATGTGTATGCTAGTGGACTGACAGTATCCAGAATGTAAGTACATACATGCACTTTTAGTAAATGAGAAATTTAAAAAGAAACCAGCTAGTGTTAAGGAACTCTCTTTGTGTACACCATAGCAATCAAGAGAAAGGGGACGTGGTATAATGGGATAAATATCACATCAGAGAGCCAGGAAACTTGGCTTCTACTCCTGGTGCTGTTGCCGGATATCTATGAGATCTTCACGAAGCTATGTAATGCTCTGAGTTTGTTTCATCTTTAAAATAAAGTTCATCTGGTTGGACCCAGTGAACTTAAAGTGTAATGAGGTGTTATTATTATTATATAATATAAATATATATACTATAAATATAAATATTATTATCATTATTATTATTATGACTCTAGAATCCTATTAGTCTTTGACTTAAACATAAATCCTCAGTTTGGCATTCAAGGTCTTCCACACACGTTCCTAACTCACCTTTCTAGCCTAATTTCCCATCTCTTCCTACCTGTAACCTGCGATGCAGGAAAATCTCAACACTTGCTTTGCCTTGTACATGCCCAGTCCTTTCTTCCTTCCACGTCTTTGCCCAACCTTTTCTGTTCAGAATGCCTCTCCACGTCCCATCATTGTCCCGTTTACATTCCACCCATTCTTCAAAGCCAGTCTCCACAGTCACTTCCTTCAAGAAGCCTGTCTACTTTTCCCCAAGTGGATATGATGCACTCTTTTTCTCGCCCCACAACACTTGCTACCTCTCTTATATAGTTTGGAGCCCTGCTTTGTATAACAATTATTTGTCTGTACATCATGTACCAGACCAGAGGCTTCTTGAGAGCAGATACTTCTCACTGCTCTTCCTCATAGCTCCTGCTTAGCACAGTGCCTTGCATACAGTGGGTGCACAGTACATATTTCTTAAGTCAAACAGAGTTGAACCTACCAGTGGGCACATGACAAATGGCTCCTTGCAGAAATGACTCACAGGCTGTGCTACTCCAGCGTCCACTGGTGTCAGCAAAAACACAGTCACCCAGGAAGGATGACTCGTCGTCTTTCCAAAAAGTGAAGGAGGATTTGGTGCCATCTGACCAGTCAAAATGAAGACCATTCTGTGGAGGGAAATTGAGCACTCATTTCCTTGCCAAGACTGCTGGTGGCATCATTCAATGCTGTCTGAGAAGCCCTCACTTCACACATAGATTTATTTTTTCACATCTAGATTTATATTTTAGGGGGTCTAGAATAGCTTGCAAATATGTCCTCACAAAAAGTCTGCCATGAGCAGTATCTTTTTTGGTTTTTGGGAATCCTTGGCTCCCTGCCACCATAACTTCCCAGTAAGCAATCAGAGTGCAGTTGGATCAGTATCTTGTTCTTTACACCAAACTAAATTTCAGATTGATCAAAGATTCAAACATAAAATTAAAAACATAAAAGTGCTAAAGAAAAGCTGGCTAAATATTTTATACTCTTGGTGTGAGGAAAATGTTTCTAAGTCTGATACAAAATCCAGAGGTCATAAAGCAAAACTGACTACATAAAGTTAAAACATTCTGTAATACAAAAATACAATGAACAACTATGAAATACCATCCTTTCACCTATCCCACTGGCAAGGATTAAAATTTTGACATATTCAGTGTTCACAAAGATGTGAAAAAACTAGATATTATCATATACTGTGGTAAATTGGTGCAGACTTTTGGAGGGCAATATGGCACCACTTGTTAAAATTTAAAGTGGACTTAGTAATTTCACTTCTGGGAATTTATCCTACTTGTACAAGGACATTTGTTGTGCGTTGTTTGTAATTGTGAAAAATTGGGAATGTCTGTATGTCCATTCACAGGAGGATGCTTTAATAAATTGTGGTCTATCCTCATGTGCTTCTGTCCCAAAGAATGTGTTAGATTTTTATGTGCTGACATGGAAAGCTGTACAAGGTACATTAAACAAAAAAGCAAGTTTAAGGAAACCATATATAGCATGATCTCATTTGTATTTTAAAAACAACATACAGGGGCTTGCCCCGTGGCTTAGTGGTTAAGTGCGCGCACTCTGCTACTGGCAGCCTGGGTTCACATCCCCGGCGCGCACCGACGCACTGCTTCTCTGGACATGCTGAGGCCACGTCCCACATACAGCAACTAGAAGAATGTGCAACTATGACATACAACTATCTACTGGGGCTTTGGGCGGGGGGGGAAGGAGGATTGGCAATAGATGTTAGCTCAGAGCCGGTCTTCCTCGGCAAAAAGAGGAGGATTAACATGGATGTTAGCTCAGGGCTGATCTTCCTCAAAAAAAAAAAAATGTATACAGCATCTTTAAAAAAAAAATAAATAAATAAATAAAAACAATATACAGGGGCTGGCCCTGTGGTCTAGTGGTTAAGTTCGGTGCGCTCAGCTTCAGTGGCCCAGGTTTGGTTCTCAGGCGTGGACCTACACCACTCTTCGGCGGCCATGCTGTGGTGACGGCCCGCAGACAAAACAGAGGAAGACTGGCATGGATGTTAGCTCAGGGCAAATCGTCCTCAAGCAAAAGGAGGAAGATTGGCAACAGATGTTAGCTCAGGGCGAATCTTCCTCAGGAAAAAAAATATGTATATATATACACACACACACACATATTCATCCATTACATGTGTATATATGTGCATACACAGAAAATTTCTAAATAACACACAAGAAACTGTTTACAGTGATTGACCTTGGAGAGTAGAACTAGAGGTCAGGATGGAATAGATTTACTTTTCACTAATCTGAGTGTGTAATACTTTTATTAAAAAAAAGAAAACAAGGGGCTGGCCCGGTGGTGCAAGAGGTTAAGTGCATGCGCTCCGCTGTGGTGGCCGGGGGTTCGCTGGTTCGGATCCTGGGCATGTACCGACGCACTGCTTGGCAAGCCATGCTTGGCAGTGTTCCATATAAAGTGGAGGAAGATGGGCACGGATGTTAGCCTAGGGCCAATCTTCCTCGGCAAAAAAAAAGAGGAGGATTGGCAGCTGTTAGCACAGGGCTGATCTCCTCACAAAAAAAAAAAAAGGAAACTAAAAAAATGTTTACTCTCCAAACCACGTACCTAGAGTGGGAAAATAACCCACGTGTTAAATTCCAAGGGGGACTGAATTAATTAGTAACTAAATTTCTAGCCAGGAAGCATGATTCATTTTTCTCTGGGATTCCTTAAATGCAACAAATTACCCAAATGCAGGTGCCTGAGTTTAGGATGTGTTCCAGCACACACATGAGGCAGTATCCTGAAATTTCTCAGAAACTTTCAGAGAACCTTAGAAGGGCATTAATTTCCAGAAATTAGGCAAGTGAATGTTTACTCTAAGAAGGTGTACACCTTTACTTTGTAGTCATAGGATGCTCATAAAGTTGGCCAGTAGTTATTGTATAAACCCATTACTTAGATGTTACATTTACTATTATTTCTGGGAATTTTTTTTCTGTGCTAATCTCAATGGCTATATCATTAAGGAGGTAGATGTGAAACTTAATTATGCAAAGATTGTCTAAGGGATTTGAGGACACCTACGTCTGCAGTGAACAGTCCAATCCAGTGGGCATGTCCTAGCCGGTTGAGGATAACAGTGAGGAAGGACTGGTGATACTGGTCTGTAATGCTGACCAGTTCTGCTCCATGCATCAGGCAGGTTTTTGTCGCTGTATACCAAGTCATATTTGCATTAATTATTTTGTAAGTTCTGTTTCCATATTCTAAGGTATTGGGGATTGGATACATATCAGATGTATTTACACCATGTCCAGAAGTATCTAGAACAAGAACAACAAAAATCATTTGTAGCATCTGGATGAGAAAGGGAGAGGCAAAGCTTAGCATGGATCACTGTCACAATGATCCATGCTGTTGTTAACATCAGAGTTTTTCTTTCCAGAATTGACTATTTCAAAATGTGGACACTACCTGAGAGCGTAGGTGATGCCAAAGAATTAGAATACTTAAGAAATTTAATGAATGAGTTTCTCAAAAAATATAAATATATATTGAACAATTTCTAGAAAGTTTCCCATTTTTGACAGTCTCTGGTCAAAATGACCATTTTTTGGTGGAACTAATGTGATCTCCTTAGGCAGGTTTCTTTCTACTAGCTATACTTGGCCTAACATATGCTGCTCTGGGAGAAATTACTGCTTACTAAGAGAATATTGACATATTTTATGTAGTCATATATTGCATTGCAAACATAATTTAATGACTGCATATTCTCAAATACAACACTTTATTAAACTTTTGAGACTGTATGATAGTTGCTATTGTGTTTAAAGTTTACATTATAAATTTTAAAAAAAGGTTTAAAAATTAAGCTAATAAATGCTTAGGAACACACACAGGTCTTATAAAGAGTTGCTATTAATGTATCACCTGGCAGAGTCAAGATTTATAAATTAAGAGGCAAGGTTTTCCCATATGTGATCATTGGTGCTTTCTTGTTCATGAGCGGCTGTGATCATGTGAAAACTAAGCCCGTGTTTTACATATAGATGTTTCCTCTTTAATATGTGCATTTGCCTTTTTGCTCTGTATTATATTATGTACTAGGATAGGCTAAATTTAGAAAACCTAAATCACAAAAACAAAGTAAGAGTTTCTGAACTGTCTGATCCAAAGGGGCCAGGATTTCTCTCCGTATACGGGTTTTATTACATTTGGGCTTGAAAAGGAGCATGGTGAGGTGTGGATAGGTGAGAAGACCTCCGACTCAACCCTAGTTCTGACCCTAAATGTCTAAGAAAACTTGGGCAAAGTAGTTGCTCTCTAAACCTCAAATTTCTGGTCTGTAAGATTAGTAAGGCCTTCCTTAGGGGGTGTGGGTAGAATTCAATGAGATACATACATGGGGCACTTAACTATACTACCTAGGACATAGCAGGCACTCAATAAATGTTTGTTCTTGTTCCCCTCTCCTCCTTTTGTCACACTCTCCCAAATAAATATGGCAAAGTGGGAATTTGACTTTTACCTGAAACTGTTATCTCAACACAGCAGTAGTACATATTGTAAAGCCAAAGTGAAATTAATCTATTTACCAACTAAATTGTGATGGACCACACTTTTATCATCTGTTTATTCTTTGCCAGAAGTCTGTTTGCCAGCCTATGTATGAAGCCTAAGGTTATTTATACAAAGCCAATAGAATACCAAAGTAGCTATTTAAAAATGATAACAATTATTAAAATTAAAGTTACTGAAATTCTTTGTATATCTGACCCAAATACCAAATTAACTATTTTTTTCCCACTAAGTTATGCATCTGTATTTTCACACATGTGAATTTCTCCCTATGTAATTGATTTCTTCAAGTTTCAAAACATAAGTGATTTGAACAACATGATTTTGCCACCCGTTGCCATGAAAAAGAAAGATCCATTGGAAACCAAGTTCCCAACTAGGGTTCTTGACTTTGTCCTTGTCTCTCTTTTTATTCTGATATCTTTATTCTTTCAGGCCGATAAGAGACTTTAGGCTCAAAGCCCAATGTAAACACATATTTCTGTGGCACGTAAAGACGACGAGCAGAATTTGGGTATTCATTGTTGACTACAAGAATTTGTGTAGTTGAATAATATTTCTTGGAAATAATAATTATGAAAACAACTCTCATTTGTTAAACATACGCTGGGAACTGGCTAAGCATTGTATATACATAGAATCTGTGAGATAGCTATTATCCCATTTTACAGATTCAGAAATCAAGTTTCAGAGAAGAGAAGAAACTTGACTGACAGTTTATTTACAGAGGTGGGGTGGGAACCCAGGAGTGGTGTGAACTCCAGCACCTATGCTCTCAACCACCACTACTCTATACTACTTCCAAAAGAGCATGTACATTGTTAGTCCCAATAATGATAGAGAAAGTGGTCTGAGAGTACATTTCAACAAGAGGTCAACATCAAGGTCATAGAACAGAATCATCAGATTTAACTGAGAGAACTTGAGTGTATTACTCATTTTTTCTAAGCCTCAAGTTCCTCATCTGTAAAATGGGGAGACTTTTACCTACTTCATAGAATTGTTGTGAGGATTTTATGGCATAATGCTTATAAAGCCAAGACACGGTGCCAGGCACATCATGAGTGTGCAAGTACATGCTATATTGATACTATTTCCTTCCCCAGGAGACTCTGCTTTTCTCAAAATTCTCTTGCTATAACTGATCTGCTGTCTTCTTTCGGTTCCTGACCACTACTGTGTGATAAGTGTGAACTACGAAATGGGGTTTCCCTGGAACCACTTTTCTGAGGATGGGTTGATATTTAGTATCATTAAAGTGTTCACATGTATGCAACACTAAGTGGTATCATTCGTATTCCAAGTAAACATAGGCTGCCCAGAATTCCACACAGCTCCAGATGCAAACTATGGCCTTCTAGGCTGCCATGGTACAGGGAAGCGGAGCAATTAGTAAAAGCACGAGATGTGAGCTATTGTTGTTGTTGTTTTTATTTTTATTACTCAAGGTCACTTACAGTGCATTCACACTGTTCATGGACACCATTGGCTACTTGTAATAGGATCGCTTTGGTATTTCACTCCAGAAGTCATTGGGGGTTCTGATCATCAGATCGAGAACCATGCTGCATGCCATATTTAGCCACAGAGACCATTTTTAGGGTTCCAAGAAAGGCGTAAGTATTGAGTTGGTTTATTTCCTTGACTTTTTCCCAACATTTTCTCAATGTCTTTTTTATTGCCTGAACAGACACATAATCCCAGAACAAAGCAATAAAGCCTTTTAATATGACCAAAATGGATGCATAAACTTGGTCATCACTCAAGGGGTCTCTGCAGTCCTTAGAACCCCACTAAAGGCTATAATCCTGTGATAGTAGAGATTAAATGACCATTTACAAGTAAAGCTCAAAGAATAAGTGCCTAGCACTGTTAGCTATGAAACCGTCAGTTATACAGTGTGTGAAACAAACATGCAAGAGAAGAGTGGACCACGGAAATGAAAAGAATAAAAAAGCAAATATTTCTTACCTTGCATTTTTTCACAAACAAACCCGTAACCTTCTTTTCCGCAGTCTTCAAAATACCATTTTCCAGTGAAATGAAAATTAGGATTACTTGACAGCAGGGCACAGAGGGGAATGTGTTTTTGAACTTTGGTGGTGTTATGACTTGGAATCTTTAAAGGAATACATGTTTTCAAAAAAAATGGTAACATATAACATTATTATAACTGACATTTTTATTAAGGACATAATTTAAAAAATTCAAACACCATTATTCCTTTATTTGCATTTAATAAGCCTGTTCACAAATCACTTCATAACCTACAAAATAAATAATTATTGTGATGAGTAAAGTAATTACATTTATGGAACACATGAAAATTATATGAAATTATATTATTAAAAATCAATATATTAATAACTGACTAATAAAAATTATGCCTACAAAATATAAGTAAAAGAAACTTTCATAAACTAGTCTCTAATAGGATCTCTTGCTAAAATGACTTGTAAAAAATAAATCTAAAAACTTACATTTATTTTATCAAATGGAGACCAGTTAGAATATGCCACAGGCTTTCCATTTAGCCATTTTTCATAATCATCATTTTGTAATCCTATCCACACATTAGTGGTCTGGCCGAAGAGATTCATAGTAATGAAAGCTGAAAAATAGGAATACATTATCAAATTTAATACCATATAAACTATTTGGGTTTTGATAATTCAGACTATCACTGAATTCTGTTTATAGCTATGATTTTATTTAAATGACTGCAAAACTTAATTACAAATCAATTGTAGGAATTTGTTACTTTGTCCTTATTAAGGTAACGCAGTCTCTTTCACTTCTGTTTCAGTTTAAATTGACAGAAATTAGCTGGCTAAGCCTGGGCTTTCAACATATCATTAACAAAACAATTTCTAGTGTTCATTCAATGCCTTTCTAAACAAAACAGGATTTATTTGCTAAAGTATATAATTGCCTAAATATCAAATAAAAGTGTATGAGTAAATCTAAAGGCGTCTAAAAAATTATACCATGCAATTATAATAGACTATGCCTCAGATTATTTTAGCCATTTTGTAATACAGATCATAAATATGTCCATATTCTTTCCACTACTACTGGTGAGACAAAAGCCTCCAAAAATCAGCAGTTTATAAGCAACGCAGTGTACTAACTTTTATAGATGTCATGATCTAAAGCTTATAGGTCAAACTGAAAATCTATGTGTCATCAGCAATAAAATACTTAAAATATTGATTTGAGGGGGTGGCCCCGTGGCGTAGCGGTTAAGTGTGTGCGCTCCGCTGCTGGCGGCCCAGGTTCGGATCCTGGGTGCACACCCATGCACTGCTTGTCAGGCCATGCTGTGGCGGCGTCCCATATAAAGGGGAGGAAGATGGGCACGGATGTTAGCCCAGGGCCCTTCCTCAGCAAAAAGAGGAGGACTGGCATGGATGTTAGCTCAGAGCTGATCTTCCTTGCGAGTGCGTGCTCACACACACACACACACACACACAATAAATAAATAAATATTTAAAAAAATAATAAATAAATAAAATATTGATTTGAAAACGTTAGTATTTGGGGGGAATATTTTAATAAATACTTGAATAAAAATGGTAATTTTTGCCTGGTTGAACATTGAGTACTCTACCTTGCTCCACCTCATTTTCAATGGCTACCAACGTCCCCTCTTCTTCAACACAGAAATCTTGAGCAGACGTCCAGTTCTTCCAATCCCTTGGGTCTTTGGGGATTTTCACCAAAAGGCACTATAAAAAATGTCAAAACAAAGTGTTCATTTCCGTGTTTTTCTAAATGATTTAAAAATTTCCCCAAAATACTGAGGATCAGCCTTGAAAATTCTTTACAAAAATGACATTTTTTCTTTGAGCTGCTCCCAAGATGTGAAAGTAAAACAAAGAAGACCAGCTTCCAGGGTGAGTCAATGCCTGGTGTGTATTTGCATCAGGCAGGAAGAGAAGCAAAGATGTGTTTTGTCATGCAGGGTATCAGAACAACGTCTTCTGCTCAATGGAAAATGGTACTCCTTTTAAAAAGGAGCCAGCCTCACTGCAAAGTTTACAATGATGGATTTAATCTAAAAAAAATTCTGTGGTTGGCAATTAACAGCTTAGTTCAATTTTATTTACAAATATACTTCATTAGTTTAAGTGAGAGAGGAATACTGGGGAATCAAACCACATCAGGTATTTAAATTCACTGAGTACTTAGAGTCAGCCATCTAAGTCCACTGGGAAGAACCAGAAAAGAAAAAATGAGCCCAGTGGGAAGAGAAGCAAGGCCAGACCAAGGACACCTAGGAAGGAGAAAGAAAGGGGAGGGTGAGCAGCCATGCCAAATGGAACTCAAAAAGAAAGCTGTGAATTTGCCAGTGAGAGGTGATTGTTACTCCAGAGAGACTCTGTGGCCTGGCAAGGGTTACTCATTATGGGATGAGAAATGGAACAGTAACTGCTAGGCAGGACAGGCAAGGTTGAAGAAACGCTGTTTCTTTTTCCCCTTAAAGCTCAGTGAAATTTAGCACATTAGGGCCAGATAGAGCCAGGGGAGAGGTAGACAGAAGAGACAGGCCATAACAGATGAGGTGAAGTTCCAGAGAAGTCAGGAGAGACTTTATGCAAAGGATGTTCCATGTGGAATATTCTCTCATCAATGAACACAGATAACTGTCATCATTGATAGGTCAGATCTCAAGATCTTGCCACTGAGAAAATCCCAGCTACAAGATAATCCTAGGCTAGCGTGGAAGCCTACACTTGATAGAGCATCCTTCCTCATCTTCCTTTGGCATGACATCCTTCCCCATCTTTCTTTAATTTCCAAGTTTGTCAGTCCCCCACCCCTTCCCCACCATCATGACTGCCTTAAAAAGCAGAGAGGTTAAGCGTTACTCCTTTTTGAACATCACACTAAAGAAAGACCCCAACAAATATTTGTGGAACAAAATAAAAGTCAATAGACTCTGAAATGGTTGTCAAAGGCCATTCTCAGGCATTCTATATTTAGTCCAGTGGTTCTCAAGCGGAGCCATTTTGCCTTTCGGGGGGTATTTTGATAATGTCTGGAGACACTTTTGGTCACAGCTGGAGGTGGGGGGAGTTGCTATTTGCATCTAATGTGTAGAGACCAGGGAAACGGCTAAACATTCTATAATGCACATATGAGTCCCCCACAGCAAGGAATTATCCAGACCAAAATGTCAATAGTGCCCAGGTAATTCTTTTCATAACTCAGTCCTGATCATATCACTCGTTAGTTTAAATGTTTCAGGGGTTTTCCACAGTTCTTAGGAAAAAACCAGAAACCTTGATCTAGCCTGAACTTGAGTTACCGACTAAGAGAGGAAGTACGTTTTTAATTCTTCTGGTCGCCTTCACCTTGTTTGCTTCACAAAGAAATGGAATTGGCTTTAAAGGATTTTAATTTTATAACAACTATCCTTTAATCTATTTCCTTTCATTTTGCCTCTTTCCCCTAATTACAAATTCCAAAGAATGACACATCCTAATTATTAGGAAGTCTTATCATTTAATGCGAATTCACCTTATGTTCAGATAGTCACACTAAGGAACCACTCATAAATACCACTGAACCTCATTGGTTCAGTTAGCTCAATAAATCTTTCCAGAAAACACACACACACACACACACACACACACACACACACACACACGTGCCCCTTCCCTTCCCGCCCCTGCTTTGCCTCAGCCAAGATTTACTAGCTTGACTATGGGAGTGCAGCCTCCCATTACCACGACTTCATTGTTTCTAAAAATACGACGTATTTACTAACACACTTCAAAATGGTGTCATTAATAAAGAAAGCAAAGCAGCAAGATGAAGTACAGCATCTTTAATTTTAAATTGTCTATTTACCTACTAATTTGCAAAATGTGATCAAGTTTAATGCATCTCTGATTATGACTGTGAATGAAGGACATCCTACTGTATTTCAAATGAGTTTTGAATATAAAATTCTTTTTTGTCTCAAAGTTATTTTCAGCTCAAAATTTGAAAATGGGATTCATGATCTTCCCCCTAAACTTGCTCCTTTCCCATGTTCTTACTGACATTGACTAGCACAGTCACACATTTTTATAATCCTGAAACCTGGGAGTCTCCTCACCCTCCCACTCCATCACACCTTCAATGCTACCATTTGGCCATCCCATTTCTCAGAGTCCACCATTCCCACTGCCCCACAGTCTCTGCACCACCATCTTAGCCCAACCTACTCCTCTCTTGCCTGGACCACTGCAATTAGCTTCCTAATTGCTCTTACCTTCCTCATGCTTGCCCTCTCCCAATCTATCCTTGGCACCACAGCCTGAGTGATTCTTTTCAAAACTCAGTCCTGATTATGTCCCTCTTGAGTTAAAACCCTTCAGGGATTTCTCATTGGTCTGAGGATAAAAACCAGAAACTCTAACACAATATGACCCTTGCCTACTTCTTTCTTCTCACCTCCTGCATTCTAGTTCTCTACAGTTCCTTTAGCTTTTTAAATATGTCCCATTCCCTCTCACCACAGGACCTAGCAGATGCTGTTCCCCCTACTTTTAATGCTTCCCGTCCTTCTGATCACCTCAGTCAGGTCCTCTGGTTATATACTTTTACAGAAATATGTAACTCTCCTTCATTACATGTACCACAATTGTAAATTAGAGTTATTTTCCTGATTGATTTACTAATATTTGTCCCCACTCTAGTCTGTAAGCTCCAAAAGAGAAGAGATTGTGTTTGTTTTCCTTCACCATTGAATTAACAATATCCAACATAGTTAGATGAATGAGTGAAGTGCTAAGAATTTGAATAAATTAAAAAACAGAAGACAGTGTATTTTTTAAGGAAGAACTATGTTGTGCATGAAATCAAATATTGGCTAATCCTAAACTAGATGGTGCAAAGCATCCATTAGCACTTAATCCAGATCCTTGAATAAAAATGTGTAAGTAGAAGCACAAGAGTTAATCTAATACACACACACACATACACAATCTTAGATTTCTTCCTCCTGCAGCTCTGCTGTGACAACTGTCTTAGATGACTCACTCTTCCTGGGGTAATCCCCAGTCAAGCCTCTTTTATATCATCAAACATGGAGAAAATAACTTATGAGACATTTAAAAAGATGCTTAACTTCTGGTGGTATCTCAGTTTTAAAACTCTTAAAGGTGGATAATTAGTCAACTAGCTAGGATTTTTTTCTTAGAAATAATCAATAAAAATTCATCCTAGGGGGCTGGCCAGGTGGCCTAGTGGTTAAGCTCGGTGAGCTCCACTTCGGCAGCCCGGGTCCACAGGTTCGGTTCCTGGGTGCGGACCTGCACCACTTGTTGGTGGCCATGCTGTGGCAGCGACCCACATACAAAATAGAGGAAGATTGGCAATGGATGTTAGCTCAGGGCAAATCTTCCTCAAGCAAAAAGAGGAAGATTCGGAAGAGATGTTAACTCAGGGTGAATCTTCCTCAGCAAAAAATAAATAAAAAATTTGTCCTAGGAAATTGACAAACAAGAATCAAAGTTCAATGGGACATAATATATTGACACTTATTTGGAACTGTGAAGTGAGTAACGTCTGTCATTGCTAGCTCCCAATTTTCCTTCTGTAGTTTTTTTGTTAATCAGGGGAACCACTCCACTAAGCTCTCCATTCCTTTCAACTATCAATCCTCCTATTTTCAGCTTTTCTAATGATCTGATAAACCCACTTATTCTAAGGTGTAGATAATAGATGAGGCAATCTCAGAAATATTTCCCTTTAAAAAAAATAAAGGGAAGTGTTAAGGCAAAGGAGTGAGACTCCATTGGATTTTAGCCATTAATAGGCAGGGAAGGAACCGTAGGTGGGGAGACACACTCGGGGACCCTGAAACTTCACTCTGTGAAAGGTCACCTTCTTGTGAAGTCTGCTGTGACAGTATCCTTAGCAATAAAATCCTCCGAATGACTCAAAGGCTAAGTTGTGCAACTGTTGCGTTCCTGGGCAAATATTTGCTGCACATTAGAATAACCGAGGGAGCTTTTAAAAAATACCAATGCCTGGATCCCACACAGATCAACTACATCAGAATCTTTAGGATGTCACCTGCACCTTGATATTTTTTAAAAGCTTACCTGGTGATTCTAAATATTTGATCAGTGCTGTGAACCACTAATCTAGCTGTTAGTTATCAGTAAAGATTTTTTTAAAAAACTGAGCTACACAAGGGTATTTAATCTTGCCCCACAGCTAGCTTCAGAAAGCCCTTTTCCTATCATATATGCGTTTGTGCTCCACTCATGCCCCCTTCTATTCCTTTAAAGGAAGCATTCGCTTGCTCTTTTGCCCTGGGTCTGCTGCATCATCACTGCTCCCGTGACCATGCGTGTGCACACTCCCTATGCTCACACAGGAGGAAATATGGAGCAGACCTAAGCCTTGTAGATAAAAAGCCTGGGGGAAGGATAATAGCCAAGAGCTGACCCAAAAGAACCATTGTGAGTTTCTAAGAATTATTTCTCTAATGCCAAGGGTTTGACTTGCCATTAATTTCCTTAAAGTATCTTCTTTTACACAGGGGAGAAATTATGATTAGTTCCTAGAACAGTTGTGTTCATGCTTTGGGGCTGCTCGCTGTCTGTATCAAAATGTGATTTTAAGATAAGGTAGGCATTTCTTTGTGCCTGTTCCCTACAGACCACTCCAGGATATACTTGTTCTAACAGCTGTGAAAAACTATCATATACAAGAATTAACTAAAAATGGACCAACAACCTAAATATAAGAGTTAAAACCATAAAGCTGTTAGAAGAAAACATAAGGGGTAAATTTTCATGACCTTGGATTTGGCAGTGTATTCTTAGATATGACACCAAAAGCAGGAACAACAAAAGAAAAATTAGATAGATTGGACTTCATTAAAATTGAAAACTTTTGTGCATCAAAGGATATTATCAAGAAAGTGAAAAGACAACCTACAGAATGGGAGAAAATATTTACAAAACATATATCTGATAGGAGTTTAATATCCAGAATATGTAAAGAACTCCTATAGCTCAACAACAAAAAGACAAATAACCCAAATAAAAATGAGCAAAGGACTTGAATAGACATTTTTCCAAAGACAGTATATAAATGGCCAATAAGCACATGAAAAGATGCTCAACATTGTTAGCCATTATGGAAATGTAAATCAAAACCATAATGAGATAATACTAGACACACACTAGGATGGCAATACTCAAAAAGACAGATAATAACAAGTGTTGTCAAGAATGTGGAGAAATTTCTAGCATACACTGCTGGAAGGATTGTAAAATGGTTCCACCACTGTGGAAAACAGTTTGCTGTTTCCTGAAAAAATTAAACAGAGAATTAGCATATGACATAGCAATTCCACTCCTAGATGTATACCCTAAAGACGTGAAAACAGGGACTCCAACAGATACTTGTATGCCAGTGTTCATTGCAGATTTATTCACAATAGCCAAAAAGTGAAAATAACCTAAGTCCATCAACAGATGAATGGATAAACAAAATGTGACATGGAATATTATTCAGTCATAAAAAGGAATGTAGTTCTGATATGTGCTATAACATGGATAAACATTGAAAACATTATGCTAAGTGAAATAAGCCAGACACAAAAGGACAAATATTATATGAGTTCACTTACATGAAATATCTAGACTAGGCAAATTCACAGAGAAAGAAAATAGATTAGAGCTTACCATGGGCTGGAGGGGAAAGGGAATGGGGAGTTATTACTTAAAAACCAGAGTTTCTGTTTGGGGTGATGATAAGTTTTGAAAATAGTGGTGATGGTGGAACAACACTGTAAATGTAATTAATGCCACTGAATTGTACACTTAAAAATTGTTAAAATGGCATATTTTATGTTATATATATTTTGCCACAATAAAATAGCTTAAAAAAACTAATTGTCAAAGGTTTTATTAAAACACTTAGTAATATTCAGCATCCTATTGAATATTTGCTACATTTCTCATATTGAAATGCATAAATAATGACTGGTAGAAAGATTTTATAGTTTGAGAAAACAGGAAGCAGACAGAAAGTATCAACTATTAAAACTAGTGTATCTCAACACTACATAAAGTTTTATAGAACCACTATATTATTTTAGAAAATATCTCACAGTGCCACTGGACTGATTGTATCATGGGGCTAAGCTGGTGTGGTAATCCTTAAGTTCTCATATCAAGTGGCAGCTGTAGGAAAGGGACAAGACTACCAGACTCAGGGTCAGAAAACCTGAGGTTGATTCTTGGCTTGACACTTATTTGCTGTGAAGTTTCAGAAAAACCACACAATTATATTAGCCTCAATCTTCTCAAATGTACAATGGGATAACAATTCTGTGTATTTAAAAAATTCAATAAAGTAAGAGATATATATATATGAAATCAGCCAGCAAAAACATTAGCCAAGTGGAAGAAACTCAAATGTCCATTGATGGATGAGTGGAAAAACAAAATGTGTTATCTACATACAATGGAATATTATTCAGTCTTAAAAAGGAAGGAAAGTCCAATACCTGCTACGACATGAATGAACCTGGAGGACTTTATGCTAAGTGAAATAAGCCAGTCACAAAAGGACAAATACTGTATGATTCCGCTTATATGCAGTATCTGAAGCAGTCAAATTAACAGAGAGAGAAAGTAGAATGGTGGTTGCCAGGGCTGGGGGAAGGGAGGATGAAGGATGGTTGGTGAATGGGTTTAGAGTTTCAGTTTTACAAGATGGCAGATTCATTGCAACCATGTGAATATACTTAACACTACTAAGCTGTACACTTAAAAATGGTTAAGATGGTAAATTCTATATTATGTGTGTGAATTTTACCACAATTAAAAAAAAATCAGTGCAAAATATGTAGTGGGTGCTCAATAAGTGTGTAAAATCCAAATGGCCCCATTTCACAAATTAACAATGAAAGGAAGATCAGAAAGGAGAGAATGCTCTGACAATGTAACCGGACATATAGATTGAAAATCTTCTGTTCACGATTGAAGAGCAATTTCATATTAGCATGTGGAATTATGACACAGCTTGGGTTTTTTAATTATTGAAGAGTTAAACATTTATAATTTGGGATGCGTTTTAATTATTTCCACCTAAGGCCTATAAAGTTATTTTATTATAAAACATAAGGAGTGAAGGGGAAGTCTCAGCCTTAATTGGAGACAGTATCAGAAATAATAAATCTGGTTTGCAATAACCCCACCGGCAGTTTTTTTTTTTTTAATTGAAATCTGCGTGGAAGCGCCAGCTTTAGGAGGCTCATGACGACATTGAGTGAGCTCCGTTATTAGAGCTCTATGCCAGCTCCAGGTAGGGAAGACACAAAAAAAGGACATGGAGTCTGGGCCCTCTGGAGTTGACAGCTCATTTGGGAGCAGGGCCTGGATACACATGCATGCATGCACACACATGTACACACACACACACGTATCACACCTAATGAAACAGTCGTACAGCACAACGAATGACTGTGTCAGCAGCAAAAACTGAGTACACAAATGAAGGGTGGTGTCAAGGCTGTTTCTGACAAAAACTTTTTATCCTAGGAGATTTGTCCCTAAATCGAAAACTTCTCAAATCTCTTGAAAGTTGTGACAAAAAAATTCTAGGTCCAAGGAACAACTCATGGTTTTTCAAAGCCACACCTACTTCTTGATTACTTTCTAATATTAATGTCTACAAAAGAGAAACAAAGGCAACTTTTTAAAAACAAATTTACCTTATAATTAAAATATAGCCACCCTTTGGGACACGTTCCATGTTGTTTTGGTGTATCTTTCTCTTTTTCTATGACCCAAAACTTTGTTCGCTTGCAGATGCTAGGCATAGAAACTGAACACTCTTCACTAGCCCAGAGTCCTGGAGGAGAAAATGGGTTAAAATGACTAGAAACAACGGTGACTCTTTGTAGGCATTTCTATTGATCACTACTTTTGTGACTGCTATGGTTTATCAAAATTTGTTTTTTAAATCTAGAAATTGAACTAAACTACTAGTCACAGAGTTCTCTAGTGACAAGAGCTAACTGGGCAAGGTGCCTAATCAGTAATTCTAATTCAAGAATGTAGAAATCTTGTAAATGCAAAAAACAAAAAATATAACTAAACAAATACTGCAATTGCAATCACAGAACTGATTAAAGTTCTAAAAATATTTTACTTGGTTAGCAAAAGAGTACTTTGTAGGGTAAGATTTTTGTTTTAAAATATTCAACTTTAAAGAGAGAAAAAAGATTCTAAAACAATAGAAGATCATTTCTACTTTATAATTCTTTAGAAAATATGATGATTTAGAAAAATTAACTCAGGAACTTCTAAGCAAGATGCACTTCTCAACACTAACCCTTAAGCAAAACGGGCACACACATGCCGTCAGGAAGATATATCCCAAAGTCCTCAGTCTCCTGGAAAATGTTTTTTAATTTAGAAGAGCTGTATTTTCAGAGTAAAGGTTATAGAATGCATTTCGTTAGCATTCAAGTTATAAATTCCAGCATAGGGCAAGGATGTATGTAAATTGCAAGGGAAAGTTCAGTTTTTTAGTGGGAGGGATATGAGCCAAAAAGACGATGGCATGTTGAAGGAGGGGCTGGAATGCTATTTTCAATGCAGATGAGCTGCTATTCTTCCAGAATCACAAAACAGCCTTTCTGCAGGCTGTTGTGACACCTGCTGGCAAAAGCGAGCTGATTAACAACATAATTTCTCCTTTCCTGACTCTTGGCAGATGCTCTTACACCAAGGATTGCTTTCCATATCTATCCCTCTCCTGACCTGCGGCACAGGTTCATTATGAACCTGTTCGAGTCAGGAACATTGTTACCTTTTATTGGATAGCAAGAGTGGGGTGGATATGCGTGGACAATCAACCCAAATAACACTGTACTGATGAATAGAATTAAAAAACCCATCTTAAACATGTACTTCTAAATCCAACTTGCAAACAGTTGGTGTTCTAAGACGAGCAGCAATTAATGCCCGGTATTTTGAAAAAAGAATACTGAATTCAATGAAAATTTTTCTTAAATGGGAAAATAGAAGTGAATTTCACAGAGGTTAAAGTTCTGGCCAATTATAAAGTGGATACTAGGAAGAGATAAAAAATGGGCCCATATTGAAATTTCATAGAGAATAGGATTTGTCAGGCATATTTTTGACTAGTTTCAATGCGCCCATTTTTGGTGCTGTTTTGGCTCATGAAGAAGGACTTATCTGGATGTAAGTTATTTTCACGAACATGAATGTATGGAATAAACTGTAGAAATGGCCATCCTTAAGTCTTAAGACTGATGAAATTGAACACATTCAATTGAAAAGCAAAATAACCAAACAAAACCTCACTGAACTAATGCAATGAAAAGGAGACTTCTGAAGCCTCTGAAAATTATCAGTTTGTATTATAAACCCCAAAATGGATGACTAAAATAACCTGTTATGGATGAAATGAAGCCACATCTCTGGCTCTGATTATTCATAGATCCTTTTTGTCCTTTGTCCCAGTTCTGGTATATTACTGGTGCACCATCTCTCCAGCTGTAGGAAAATTAAAAATTTTAAGGTCTTGGCTCCCTCTGCATGTTCAACCTCCAGCACCATTCTTGGGGTATGGATTGAAGGCATAATATTTTATTAAATTAAAAAAAATACCCATTCTTTAGTTAGGGAAATGAAAATTTATAAGTTAAAGATAACATTTGAAGGCTATTCAACAAATTGATCACTAAGATCTACTCCAATCATTCTGCAAATAAAATCCATCAAACAAAATTAAATGCAAATGACTCTAGGTCCATACCGAAATTCATCATTGGCTCTTTCTTCTCGAAGTCCAATCCACCAATTTACACCATACTTTGATAGCTATTAAAAAAAAAAAGAAAATGTCAGCATTTATTCTACTTGTTTTCCCTTTTCACTATTAAGATTAATGGAGTTGCTGTTAATAGCTTTCTATTCTTCAGTATTTTACCCAATTATCCAAAGAAGAGTACACTGAAGCCTAGCATCTTGAGAAAACCTGAAGCTTCATTATTCTAAAATATCCCCTCCTCATTATGAAGGAAAATTGGAATCAATTATTGAACATCTTTCTTACAACTTTCCCTATGTATTTAAAAGTAAATTTTCCAACTCTCATAATAGCGATTTAATAAGTAATACGTATTGTAAAGTAAAATAGGATGTGGATTCCTTTTTTTGACTAAAAATTTAGTTACTTATCCTCTCAGTGATTTATAGAAGTTCATTGCATACATCACACTATTTGAAAAACAATTCAAGGCACAAAGACATCAATAGTAAAAAGATTTTGAATTTTAGGCATTCACCTGCTTTTTAAGTTTTTAAACTGAGTATTAGCACCCTCCCCATACAAATAGACAGATGCAATATAGGACAAAAGAATACTACAGAATTTCCAGTGTTTGACAACTAGAAATTTATCCTTTATATATTTTATTAATTTTACATTGTTTATCACACAGATCTCAGTACAATAAAGCATAAAATTGAAACACCATGTGTGTGCACGTGCACCCACACAAATATTAAAGCAGATGTAATATCGGACTTATGACCTAGGAAATTGAAATTCTCTAACTATAGGAGAGGAAGAGGCAGTAAGGATTTCTCTAAGACCTCTAAATCAACATACTTTATTGTGTGTGTGCCACATGTGTGTATGTGTATGTGTGAACTATAACAATTTTTTAAGTTAAAAATCTGTTAACGTGAAGGCATTATATATTTAAATTTGCATTTCCGTTTCTTCTGTAAAATCTTAGGAATACATTTTAAGATATATTTTTTTCCCTGTGAATTTCAGGTCATCATACAACAGAACCTAATAAATCTCTAACATTCGAATTTATAAACAGGTATTTTTCCTCCTTAAACAGTGTGGCTGCCTGCCATATCAGCAATTTGAGAATAATGCAAGATGGAGCAACTATAATTTTGGATCCCTGAGGTGTTGTTTCATGGATGTGTTCTTACACGCTGAATTTAGATTCCCATTGTCAGACTTTGGAATGGGTCCATTGAGACTGGCTGTGAACTCAGTGGGAGAACCACAACAATTTCACTCAATCTAAAGAGGGCTCATGTGCAACAATAGTGGAAATCACGGCCTGATTGTTCACTGCCCCCAAGTAAGGACCTCTGAAGAGAAATTATAACTACTGCGTCTTAAGTGGCTTATTTATTACCACCTCAACTGTAGCATGGTAATCTTCCACGTGGCACAAAAGTGGAACAGAACTTCATAGGACAAGCTAGAAAGATACTCAGAGTGAAAAATCCAACATGAAAAATGGATGGTTTGATTTTAGCTTAGGCCTACAACCACAACAGTAGAAGACAACATTCTTTTATATAAAGAAATGTGATATGACTGCGGATTTTATAATATCAACTATGTTTCATTACAAACAGCCATTATACATAGCATCATATGGGAAGAATACTTACCAAAAAGAAAGAAAACACAGCAACAACTAACATATTAATCTACTAAGAATATAAGGAAGAACAACCTGTCATGGCTTCAAATGTTTCCATCAAAAATAACAAAACCATGTTACCTAAGGGTTTAAAACACCGTATTTTGGAGGCTGACTAATGGATTTGATATATTTTTGTTAGAATTATTTAGAAATGAAATTTAAAACATAAGAGTAAGTTGCAATTTCGAAATGCAAATTTTGTACAACACAGCATAAAAATGTTGGCTGAGTGGACTAATTGGCTAGCAGTTCATGTTAAACAACTGTGAAAGTGCTTGCGGCTTTTTACCTTTCTGGCATTAATCTAACCACCAAGATGGTTCAAAAAACAAGTTGACTCAAAAATTCACTCTCGTCATGCCTTGTGGTACTCTGTTATTCAAAGAGAAAACACTGACTCATAACTTTCCCGAGATAGAAACATTTTGTTAAAAAAATTCTACTTCAGATTTTTAAAACCTTACCCAGCTTTCTTTTTCAGCAGTTAGTTCTTCTACTTTCCAACTAAATGTTATTTTTGTTTTTCCCATTTCTAAGTTACTTCTTTTCACAGGGCAACTAGACAACACATATGTAATTTTAAAAATATTTAATTAATTATTCTGATTCTTCTCGCACTTACCGGACGAGTGTGCCACAAAAGTGAGTGGTATGATCTTTACATGTTTAGTTCCTTATTCTGCAATAAAATAACTTCTGGACTGACCCATTCCAGTAGGACGTTCTTAGATATGGGATTTCTTACTTATGAAATGTAAAGTCCCATAAATATCACCACTACCACCAACAAAAAGTACCTAACACAACCACAAATTATGCAGAAATAAGAATTGCTTTGGAAATCTTCAGCTCTCTTCTTTCTAAATTGATACCTTTTCCCTGTGGCCCCCTAGCCCCTTTCTCCGTCTCCATGTCGTATACAATCCAATAATTTTCTTTTGTAGCACAGTCAGTGTTGGGTTAGATCAGTCATCCCCTCACCCATAATACTGTCAGGGCATTCTGTATTAACCTGGTCACAGGCTGGGTAACAATTTTGCCATATAAGACACCACAATGTTTGTCTGGTTTGAGATCACAACTAGATCTAGCCCTCAACTAGATCATGGCACTGGCTACGACTTACTGTCAAACTGCTAAACCAGTGGGTTTTACTATTCCCTTCTAGGGGAGGTATTAACTCTGCCATCCCCACTGGCTTCCCAACCACCAAAGATTGGGTGAGTGAATTACAGGAAAGGTGAAGAGAGAAGACCTGTAGATGCTTCCAGGAGAACTAAGCTCTGCTGGAAAGATGAAAGAAGCCCTTCATTGTGCATCTGAGACATAGCTGGTGTCATCGTTTGGGAAGGGATTTTAGAACTAGCATTTTAATATAATGAAGACACTGTGCTCTTATATACGCCCAACACTGCTATTCGGCTGCCAGCAGAGGGTTTTTCAATGACCTTGTAAGTTAGATGGCCTGGGTTCACTTCCAAATTCCACCACTCAGCTGCTGTGTAACCAAGTTGCTTCACCTCTTTGGAGTCTTAGCTTCCTCATCTGTAAAATGTACTAATAACAGACTTCCCACACAGAGTTCTTGGAAAGATTAAATGCTATTAAACGTTAGCACTTAGCACAGTGCTTGACACTGCTACCATAAATATTGGCCAAATATCAGCTCCTTTCGGAATGTGTACTTTGCCATGTCAATCGATTGGTTTTTAGCCGTTCACCTCATGTTTTGTTATTGCCAGTTGGGGTGATGAGTCTGCTGTCTAGCTAAAGAAGCAAACATATTTTCTGACATCATGATATGTAATTTGTTGATACTTAACACTACAGTTTTGGCTTGAGCGTTCCATTTGTCAGAGAGGAAGGGTGGTACAATAGTGCACAAACCAATAGTGGGAAACGTCTGGTTCTAGTGGTTGGTCTGCCACTGTATGTCTGTGGGACCATGGAGTTGTCACCTAACCCCCCTGTTTCTTGGCTTTGCCATCAAAACTCAGTGGCAGTTCTGACCTGCCTGCATTTCACAGGCTGTATGTGCATCAGATAGGATCACAGAAATGGGAAAGCCCCATGAGCTGTGAGAGAAGACAATTCTCTTAAAAGCCAAGGATGCTTTAATACAGAGCTTCATTTTAACAGTCAACTTACAAACACATGAGAAGATGATAGAGGGAGAAAGGATTCCTGGATCATGAAATAATATTAAATTATAGAAAAAGAAAAAAGGCTTTCTCTTACTTTCAAAGATTTCCTAGGGAAAATTGGGAGTGAGATTTTCCCTCCTTAGTGCCCCCTTGGTAATTTGTACATACTGCTCCCTTTTTACTTACTACATTGTATTATCTCCTGCTTTTTAAATACAGAGACTATATTTCATTTTTGTGTCCTTAACATTTTTGTGTCTTGGATGCAAATGCCTGACACATATCTAATGCTCAATAAATGCTTGTTGTTGAAGAAATACACTGAAAACCTACTATTCCTTGGCAGTCTATTTCATTATTTAACAGGCTTTGCATGCCCTTTTCTAATTAGCCTAGCTCCTCAAAGGATTAAGTCTAGTCTTTCTCTGTCTTAAGCTGAAATGGAAAACCACTCCTTACCACTTTCTGTATATTGAGTCTTTACAAACTTAAAAATATTGTGCTCTTGTATGTAAAATTCAAAACTTTAAAACAGCCATGCAACTCCCAGGTACTCCTTGCCTCTCATTTGTGCTTTATTTTCCTCCATGGCATTTATCCATTTATCTTTTTCTAAAATACTATGTAATTCTATTTACCTATATTGATTATGGTCTTTCTTCCCAGACTAGACTATAAACTTCACGAGGGCAGGAATTTTGGTCTATTTTAATCACCGATAGAGCCCCAGTCCCTAGAAGAGTAGACTCTGAATAAATATGTGTTGAATGATTGAATGACCCTCACAGAAACAATAAAACTACTTACTCACCATTGTTGCTAGTAAAGAATGAAGAGAAGTGAAATGACTGACCAACATAGTAAACCTGTGTTTCCATTATTTTCTCTTAATCTCTATAACAGGAAGAAAAACAATTCTCAAAAACCTATGGCTTTTAATGAAACTTAAATAAATGTCTGAAGTCAAACAAACAAACAAAAATCCCCCCAAAGACAGAAGAGGAGCTAAGCTCTGAATTTCTCATTGTTAATTGTATTCAAGTACCACTTTTATTTTGCTGTGGATGAATTCTTGCTCACGGGCAGAACGAATCGTGAGAAGATCACTGCGCAGCCAGCCACAGACAAACTCAAAGGAGGACCATTCTGAGGCACGAGTATGAAAAAGGTACTCTGCATCCTGATAAAAGAGCCAGGGTGCATCTGAAAAAAAAAAAAAACAATGCAAATAACGTAAAAACTATTGACCAACATAATGCAGACTTAAATAGGATAAGCTATGATTGACCTCAAATTTGTAATTTGGTCACTCAGCATTAAAAGAATGTATGTGTGTGCATATATATGTGTGTTTGTGTATATATGTATATACATAAATAAGTATACTTACACACACATAAATAAGTACGTAATTTGCTTATTTTCTTTGGTCATCTCATATAAGAAACCTTCATTTGTATTCAAAGGTCCGGGATAGAGGCATATTTTAAAATCGTGTGTCATGAAAATGGAGTTAAGCTATGATATTAGTTTTTAATCATATTTAATGACCTTTATTAATTTGATTATTTATTAATTAATTTGAACAAATTAGTTCTAGATTAACATAAGAAAAGAGAGGCTTGATTGGAGGACTGTAATAATACAGTAAGAGTATATAATAACACATAATTACAAATTCAAGGACTGCCAGGATAGTTCTTACCATACTGGTACCAGGGTGGAATCTTGGGTCTCACATCTGCAAAGCAAAAGCACACGGCTTTAAGTGACCTTTCCTCACAGATACACTATTTCTGAATTACATCAGCTCTAAACACAGTATTTTGTACTTTGCCTTTTAAAAGACCATTTAAAAACCAGGTCCTTTTTGCCGTTTGGAATATGGTGAGTTCTCATACTTGGAGAGGAGGTTCAAGAGAGGCCTCTGACTAAAGAAGAAAGGATATGAACACTTGTTGATGGCCTACTGTGTGTCACACACTGTTAGGTGCTTTCACTTACTCATTTGAAAGGTAATTTTGTTTGCTTTTAATGTCACAGTGACATTTCTTCTGGTTTGGATGCACAAAATACAATATTCTACAATATAGCCAGTTATCCTCATTTCCTATTAACTCCCATAGCATACTTCCCCGGAGTCATCTTTTCCTAGCCCCCTGCCATACATTCTTTGCTAAAATAGTGCAATTTGGTTCATGATGAGGGTTGTTGGTACCATGGTCCAGGGTGCTTAAATTTTAGATCTCTGTAACTCCTCACTTGGGACAGTGCTATAGATGATCAGAAAGCAAACATAAAGATCGCATTCATATTTTTACCTCTTGGAATCTTGCATATCCATTCGCGTTTGGAACCACAGTGCAAGGGCAGCAGTGTTTTATTTGTCTTATAAACAGCACAATTTCTTGCATCTTCTCCAAAATAAATATTGTCTAAAAATGAAGAGACAACCTGCAGCAGATGAAGTTCATTATTCCTTAGTGATGGTCCCCCACAAAAAGTTTCAAAAGATCAAAAAAGGCATCCTCGTAAATAAATTACAATAGATTTCTGAAGAAAGCTTCAGAAACATCTGGATGTGATTCCAGTTAAAGGTTGCTCCATATTTGTGAAGAGCAAGCTAATCAGACTAGCATTTTCTCTTAAAGATGCTTTTTTCTTTTCTTTTTTTTTTTTTTTATAATTTTATTTATTTATTTATTTATTTATTTTTTTCCCCCAAGCCCCAGTAGATAGTTGTATGTCATAGCTGCACATCCTTCTAGTTGTTGTATGTGGGACGCGGCCTCAGCATGGCCAGAGAAGCAGTGTGTCGGTGCGCGCCCGGGATCCGAACCCAGGCCGTCAGCAGCGGAGTGTGCACACTTAACCGCTAAGCCACGGGGCCGGCCCAAGATGCTTTTTTCTTAATAAGAGGCATGCTCCTCCTTTCTCCAGAAGGAACCAATCAGATCAAGCTTCCTTCTGAACTTGCACTGTATTCTCACCGGCAGAGTTAGGCTCGCCCTGTGATCCTGGGTAAACTTCTAGAGGCTCAGGGATCAGGCAGATTTGGGTCTCCCCTTTGGTGTAGATTCTTTTGCACATACACTAAGCTTTTAGTCTCTAATCACTAACTTCTAAGTCATTGCTAGCTTTAATCAGGAAACTATCCAATGCTTTCCATGAATGATCACATAACAGGCGTATGAAATATTCAACCTTCTCCATGATTTAATGACTACTTGACAGAAGAATGGATGGACCACAAGTAAAATTGGGGTAAAAATTTGGGAAAAAAGAGGATATTTGGAAACCACTTATACTCCTCAAACATGTACACAGTCGTGCAAGGATTCGTCTACCGAAATATATATAAACTCAGATTCAGAGAATGGCATGAGTATGAATATTTATTTTGTCCAGAGGGGAGTGGTGAGGAACTCGGTCCACTGCTTCATGGCTTTATCTCATTTATTCTGAACCAAATTATCTATTCCTCTCCTATTACTAATGAGTTTGTTTTACTAAAACAAAATGAAGTGTTCTCAACCTCTATGTATCCCATTTCATTTTTCAAGTGCCATATTGATGTTAAGCAGCCAACTGTGCCATGTGGTGGCTGCCATTTATGGGGCAGGTAGACCCTGCTAAGTCTCTTCTGCTTTCTAGGCCTTGGTTTCCTCATCAGTAAAATAGGTGGGTGGGGCTGGTGATCTCTAAAATCTCTTCACATTCTCTGGTCCCGATGCTCTTTTCAAAGAAGCAGGACTGGCGTGGAAACGTTATTTTTTTAACCAGCATACCCTTATTATTTTTGTTCCCACTATACACATATAGCTTTTCCACAAATCCCTTCCTTGCCACAAATGTGAACACCATCTATGTAGTGGGCCTAGAGATCCCTTTGCTCTATTGATCTTTACTATTTCAAAATTTGGCTGCTGATATTTTGCCAACTAGGAGACATTGTGACAGTGTGGCTTTGGCTGCAGACCACCTGTGTACAAATCCTGTCTCTCTTATGTATTATTTTAGGCAAGCTACTCAATCATTCTAATACCCACTGCATTGAATCATTGTAAGGATGAAATGAGATTGTGTAGGAGTGCACTCAGCTTAGGACTTGGAACATAATTGGGGCTCAATGAGCAGGAGCTGCTTTCAATGCTCACTGCAGGCTCTTGCTGGCCTCCCTAGTTCACAGGTGAAGCTGAGTGACTTGATTTTGCATGTTCCGTTGGATGGATCTTATTTCAATCCCAGGTACTGCTTCCATGTTTTCCCTACCATCTTGAGGAAAATATGGAAATTCCTCATTGCACCTGAAAAAAATGTAATCGTGAGTTCCCTCTTTCCTTCACACAGGTTTTTACAAGCATGAGACTAAATGAAAAGCAAGTCTTTTTTTCCTTCCAAATAACTTGCTCTGGCTGAGAAGGAGGTGATATTTCTAAGGCTGGCATTTCTGTCCTTTTAGAGTGAGATAAACCAAAAATGGTTCTTTTTGTTGTGACACAGGCAAGGGTCCCCCACTCACAGGTGCTGTGCAGGAAAGGGAGGATGGGGAAAAGGAAGCCTGGTGTTATTTTAAAGAATAGTTGCTTCTCTGCCAGAGACTCTCCACATGGGTGTGGGGCCCTTTTTGGAGATTTTTATTTCTTTTCAGGATGAGATCCCACAGCTAGCCTCAGAACTATCTGCTAGCAAAGGTTTCCCAGGACCTGGCTGAAATAATTCTTCTGGTACCCCAGTCTGGTGCAGTTTTTGATTTGGGTCTGAGTCATGGGAAATATGGTCATTATTTCCAGGTTCTCTTGGTTGGTTTACCAAGTGGTTCCAGCGCCACCTGTTTTGGATTCATTTCCTTTTTTCCAGTTTGGAAAGACTTACAGGAGTTCCATCAGACCACTCCCAAGAGCCAGCATTCAGCGGGTTTCTTTTATTAAATCCAATCCAGAACTGCCTTTCTTCTGTCCTATGAAGAGAAGAAACAAATACTTGGCTGTTCCCATTGAATTCACAACATTATGTAAAAGGTTCAAGAAATATTTTAAAGTATCTATGTGTGCAGGAAACAGCTGATGCTACTAGCAGAACTGATCAAGTCAATAAACATTTATTGAACATTTCCTATATGCAAAGCCTAAGCTATGAAATAAACTGAGAGAAGATGTAGCCTCGCTTCCTATTTCTCTTGGTTTGTATGGTGTGCTCATTGGTGTTGTGCAGTTGGGGGAAAGTCAGCCCATGTTGAGAACATGGCTTTCTCCTGTTCATTAGGTAGGAATGGCAACACCTTTCAATCAGGACAAGAACACATGATAGCAAGTTGGTAAGACATTTTGGAACATCTTTTCCATCGAGGAATTTTTACTGCTTTACTATTTATTTACTACTCTTCTATACTATTTATACTACTTTACTATGCTTTGATTTGTTGCTTTTTTGTCAAATGTTCATGTATCCTTTGAAAGTTAATCACCACCACCCCCATTTAACAAAAAGTACACAGCAGATTTGAGGTTCTTTCAGATCCCAGTGTAAACAATTCCACAGCGAATCAGTCTGAGGCATGGTAGATTAACTTCAGCAGTCACCATTGGGTTAGACTTGGCAAGAAGCCCCACAGAGAACCATCTTCCCTCCTCTTAGGCAGAGGACAAATATGTCAAACCACAGAGTATTCAATAAATCAAGCAATAAAGCCTAATTGTACAACGAACCGTCTCACTAAGATAATTTTCTGAGAATAATTTTGAAGAATTAAAGATTTAAAAGATTCAGAAATCATGACAGATGCTTTATTTTCCTTAGTGCAGAGAAGCAAGCATCCCCTTCTCAGATATTTGAGCTACTCTGCCAGAACGATACAAATGAAAGTAAATTGTGACTTAGAAAATCCGAGAGATCAGTGGGGCCTGGTTGGTCACTGCCATGATTACAACTTACATTTAAGGCTGTGGGAAGGTAAGGATGCTGCCTTAAGGTTAAACCAGGCATATTAATCTCAATGGTCTCGGCTGGAAATCCATGTCACTCTCCCTGCATTGAGAATTTTTCATTCCTTTCCTCACTGGATTCAGAGCTCTACATTTTTCCTACTGTATACCAGCTCCTAGAAGATGAACTGCTATTTATTTTGTCTCCATAAACTCCCTAAAATTGTATAATTTTTAATAAATAATATAATATAAATATAATAAACAATAAAATAGAAATAGATAAACTGTGCCATAGGAAGGAGAAGAAGCATATACGCTAACAATGATAATTGGTTTATTTGCTATAATTAAGCATCAGATTTGGCTAAACTCCCTGGCAGTCTGGGCAAAAAGTAAAACATACAATATATAGCTTTCATGATTAGGTGCTGAAGATCAATAATTTGACAGATTCTTGGCACTAAATTCTATGAGAAATTCCAAGTGTGAGAATGTACATAAATAGAAATGATGTAATAATATTTGATCTTACAGCAAATTTGGAAGCAGTTTGAATGTGGTTGTTCATAGAGCAAACTTCACTATGTGCAGTATGAGAGTAAGTTTTGCAAGGGGCTAAAGTCTTATGAAGCAAAGTCATAACTTAGAACAATGGAGACCATCATGTATCCCTTGGATCTGTGGCCCCACACCAGATTAACAATCCAATTAGCCAGGAAGCTTCTTGAGCTTTTCTTCAGCCTCAGAGAATCTGACTCAGCAGTTCTGGTGTGAGACAGAGCGCTCTGTGCTAAAAGGTGTCCGAAGTGAATGATAATCAGCCAGGTTTGGGAGCCATGGTCTCAGGTCAGCATTTCCTGTAGGGACCAGCAGTACCATGGGATGTTGATAAATGTTCTCAAAAAAAGAGTTTTGGGGTCAAAGAAAGTGCTTCCTTCTAGGAGACTTTATAATGCCAATGTATATGGCAAATTTCCAAGATTATGCCTTGTTTTGCAAACATATTTGATCACAAAATTCCCTTTTTTCCCCAAAGAGTAATCCATGAGACACACATTGGGAGATGCTGTCAAAGACTCTCACCTTTAAGGCTATTTTTGTAGATGCTGGAGATGAATAATTTGATAGATGTTACGTATTAACTTTCTTATGGGAGTGTCTTAAAGGACACTTATTTGGAAGGCCAGGATTTTCCTCAAAAAAATAGTTCTGGATTTTCTCTAGATTCAGGCAACTGTTTCACTGAGACTCCAGATTTCCAGAGCTTGGAGCAGAGTGCCTGGTGTTACACTTGTTTTCGTTAAATAAATGTATGGAGCCATGGGGGCATATCCCTCTTAGACCACAACATCCTCAGGGGCAGGATTTTGTCTGCCATGTCTATTGGATTCTCCAGCCAGCTATGCATGTAACAGTGCCCCTTCCATAGAAGATATTACCAAAATGTATGCTGACAAGAACATTCTAGAGAAAGAGACCAAGGGATGGGAAGAGAATATGACGGCTGTCTTCAAATATTTGAAAATAGAGTAGACTTGCTCTGTATCGCTCTGGCTTACTAACAAGGTGATCTTTGAAACCAGCCTCCAACCATGGAATGGGCTTTCTGACAACTAAAGAACCCTCTGAAACTGAAAAGAATTTTGCAAACAGTAGATGACCATGGAAATGTGGTGGAAGGAATTCCTGTATTGGGTGGGAGGTAGCACAAGACCTCTTAAGTTTCTTCAAGTTTAAATTTAATTGATTTTCTAACTCCATGGAATTCAAGGTTCTGTAAACTTGCAAAGTGGATGCAGATAAGTGAATGCCTGTTTCCTCAAATGTAAAATTAGGAGGTTGGATTGGAATTTTGTTTTTTAAATCAGTGGGACTTTCTTTTTTTCAAACAAAATCTTACATAGACTCCTATTATACACAAAATAACTAGAAGTAGAGCTGGTTGGAGCTGCTCTGATGAATCAGTGAGCAAGGAACCAGGAGCTCTGCCCACTTGGCCCCCTCCCGCTCTTGGGGTTCCAGGATCCCTGGGATCCTCAGACAACACTTTGAAAAACACTGGGCTAGATAATTTCTAAGCTTGGCAGAAAAGCTCTAAAATTCTGATTTGAGGCCCACAGAAAAGATTTCAAATATCAAAGCAATCATCACTTTGTTCTTTGTTTTATGGAAGAAGAACTTGGTGCAATTTAAATACAGTTATATGTACACATTTTTCTTTCACAACTAGTGTCTAGTTGGTTTTAGGCTTAAAACAAATACTTGAGATTTTAAACAAATATTTGGGGTACTCTTCCCTAAGAAGCCATTACTGGGAGACAGATTATTTGACTGCAATTTTTCAAAATTAACAAGTATTTACCAATTAAATTTTGAATATAAAAGCTCATTCACAAAATTCTCTTCCTCAATATGGGCAAAGCTTGCAAGATGAGCTCCAAATTCTTCACAAAATGTTTCAGCTTCTCTCCATGTTCTTTTCATCAGGACTTTTTCACTATGGAATACCTGTATAGTAAAAGAAGAAAAAATGTGGACACTGTCACGGATAAGGTGAAGCTGTTTAATTCTAGACAAGAAAATAACATTAATATAACTATTATATTATTCATTATGTCATTATTCTCTATGAAAAGCTTGACCCAGCAGGGAGAAATAACATTTAATGAACTAGAATGTGTCTAGTTGTCAAAAAAACTATCTCATTTTATTATCATAGCAAATTCATGAGGAGGATATGATAAGCTCAGTTTTATAAATGAGTTCCTTGAGGACTGTTTTTTCCCCTAAATTTCCTGTGACTGGCATATACTTGTCCCTTAATAAATGTTTGTCAAAAGATGAGGAGAGTCAGGCTAAGTGAGGTTACAAATTTCAGGTCACGCAGCTACAAACCAGCAGAGCTAAGATTAGACCCAGTTCTCCTCGCTTCCAGAGTCCATGAATTGCCATCCCACCAGACTGCCTTCTGACAAATTAACATTGGCTGAATGATCATGAATCTGGCTGACCTATGGCAAGAAGTGAGAAATGAGACTTGGGAGCTAGGGCAAGTATATTTCTAGGGTCTTTGGGTCTTAGCTGTGCCTAAATTCTCTGCTGTTTCTCAGCTGTCCTCACAGTAGCAGGAAGAAGTCCATCAAATGGAGGGTCTGCTTTTGACTTTATTTAAGATCAAGGATGAGGGACTGAAGACCCAGAGCTCCAGATCCTGGGCCCCTGCACCCTGCTCATTTTTAACTGTCTCTGATGCCAGGCAGTCACCCTGCGGCCAGGCTTCACCAGGCTCTGATTTGCAGGGACCAGAATGAATAGCTTTCCCAGTTCTGTGAACCACAGTGCAGCCTTTCCATCTTTTAAATTATACGTCAATACTTGCCTCCTCTGGGAACCTTTTCTCAAATCACTTTAAAATCATAAAGCCTACTACTATGCCCATCAACACACCATACATTTGTTGACATATCAGGGAGGCATTTAGTAGAAAAAGCACTGGACCAGGAGTCCCAAGACCAGGGATTTATTCCAACTCTGTCAATAAATAATTGTGATCTTGGGCAAATCACTACATCTCACTGCCTCAGTTTACTCATTTCTAAGGTTTAATTTATTGGTCTGTGAGGTCATTTCTGGGCCTATTATTCCATGAATTTAATGTAGGATTATACATGTGTACATTTAAATTGAGTGCATTCACAGGTGTTTCATGCCATCTATGAAACTGCAATATCTCTAGAGATAGAGGCTGTCTCCATTCTGCTCTGCATGTGCCCACGTGCCAGAGGAGAACTTTCTCCCGGGCTTTTGGAACTCTCTATTTATAAAACAAACCAATTACAAAACCACCGAACAAAAACATCATATTTCAAAAAATGTATTTCTGACAAGAAAATTGTAGGTACTGATTTAAAGGTAGGATCTAAAGCTGCTTTGCAAAAAGACATTTATTCACACATATATATACATACGCACACGTATATATCAACTGTGTGTACTAATTTGTTTGATCTTCAGGTGTCTGACAAACTGCAATAGCAATTCTTAACAGCAGAATGGTATTATTCCACAATAAGAACTTTATTCATTTGCTTACCAATGACATGGAATTGTACCATGTCTGCCTTGTTCATTTGGTATATGCAATAAGAACAATATTGACTGGGGCCTTGACATCAGTCCTCATGAGGAAGACTTCAATGTCACCAGGGATATGCCAATCTTTTGACTTAAAAATTATTTTGGAATATAACTGAAAGGATAGAGACTGTCAGCAAAGATGCATGAAGTATCTGCTGTGCGCCAGGACTGTTCTGGAAGAAAGGAATTTGGGATACATGGACAAAATCGAAATAATGTTGGTCCCATTGAGAATGCCCACGTAACCTTGGCATCACCTTGAAGCAACTGGCCAGGCCAGGCTCTGACTCCCAGTCCAAATAGCAGGGGTGAAAGGGCCATCTCTCTTCATGCTCAGTTTTCTCCTGATTTTCCACCGGTTGCTTGCACAGGGACATTGCCTTAAAGTGTTTACAGTCTTTCACTTCCCAGCGACCAGGTGGACTCCTTCCTCGCATGACAACGCAACCACCACTGTAGCCTAAAAGCAGCAAACAACACATTTTAATACTAGATGATCAGAACACTTTGTGCTTGGAAGTCAGCTCTTTAGAGTGTTGAATAATTGACATCTCATAATGAAGCACCCAATAAGAACAATAAAGATAAAAAAGGACGCTTTATTGGTATGATTATCTCATTTCTCTTCATCTCTGGAGAAAAGATTAGAAGATGGAAATGTGAGAGAAGAGAGACTGTGAAGCCTGAAATTTGGGCATCTTGAGCTCAGATGGCAAATGATGGGAAACTAGGAGCTGTTCCAACTTGGGAACAAAATATCGCCTATATCTCATCAAATGCCAACATCCCTCTACTTTGAATTATTGAGCTTTTTCACTGTGCAGAGAAAAATTTAACTCACCATTTATTGAGTACCTACTCTATACACTGTGCTTGGAAACCCCATTGTGAAAAATCAACAATGAAAAATGCAGAGTGCTCATCCTCTGAGAAATAGATTCAATGGAGAAAACACATAAATGATGGATTCAAGGCAGACTGCAAGGTACATAACAGAAAACCAAACTGTAAACCATGGGAGAGTGGAGAGAATGAGATAAATTCTAAATGGGGGGAAACTCTGGGGGTAGGAATGGGGCAGACAACAAGGAAAAGGGAAAGACCATTAAGATATGGACAGAACTCCATTTCATTCTTTTGTGTATGTCTGAACATTTTGGAAAATGAAATATATTTTTCCACAGAAACAATTTCTAAGTTGAGTTAAGAGTCTCAAATTTTTCATCAAATCTATACAACTCATAAGACAGCTAAAAATTACACTTCAAGTTTCAGTGAATAGTAGAAAAAAATCCCATTCCAAAAATAGAATAAAAATTGAGTAAGAATGAACTTCTTTTTTCTTGAATCCAGACTGATCATTCAATTAACTAAATCAACATTCAATAACAACAACAAAATTGTGCATCTACTTCTACATAGCAGGCTAGGCTGTATATTAGCTGCTAGAGATAGAAGGACAAATCAAAACAAACAAAATCCAACTCTTAGTTTAATGTCAGGCACAGACACAAACTATTAATTGCAATAAACATACTGTGTGAAGTGCTATCAAAGGTGTATTCAAATTTCTGTGAGGAGACTTCAGAAGGAGTGATGGAGTGTGCCTTGGGATGTCAGTAAAGGATTTGCAGAAAGTGACGTTTGAGCTGAATTTTGAAGGATGAAAAGAAGAAAAAGAGTTGACAAGGAGTGCTTGAAAAAAGCAAGCAATTATAGATGGAGCACCTGAAGACTTGTGATGATTCTGGACCTAAAGGCACTTTTAAAAATGTAGTCACTATGTACTAGATATTTGTCTTGCTTAATTTCCCCTCAGAAGTAACGGCTTCAATTTTTTTAGATACAGGGTAACAGGCATTATCCTTGTCAGCCATATTTGGCTTGTATATGCTCACAGAAAGACGAAAGAGAGGGAAAATGAAGAGTGGGGGTGAGAAGAAAAAAGACAGAGGAAGACATACAAAAAGCCTCTCTTAAAGGAATGGAAGAGTTTGTGAAAGAGGAGAAAGAGTAAGGAGCTAAAGAATGAGTGTTGTGTCTCCAACAATCCTGGGTGCATAGGCACTGGGCATCACGCCCATCCCCAAGAAGCTCACAGTCGTGTATGTGTGCATGCTGATGTATCACAGAGACCCGCAAAGGTGAAAATGACCAGTCGTAAACAAGAAAACATGATTAGCATGACATATAGAAGAAAAGGAAGTCAAGAGAGAGTTGGTCCAGACAAAGGCCATCAGTCAGCTCCATTGGCCAGACAGCTAGTTAGTGTTAAAAATGAATGATTGAGGGCCAGGCCAGGGGGAGAGATTATAGCATGCAAACACAACCTGCCATGAACGGAGCTTTGCAGTCCTGATGAGTGTAGTTTTGGAATACAGCTCACAATCTAGCTGAGTCATGAACAATAGAGGAGATGCTGCAAGCTCTGTGCAATGAGATTCTAATGAAATTGAATTGTGGAAATCCATGTGGAAGCTCAAAACATAATATACTAATGGAGTTGCTCTAGTTGGAAGAGGAGGGAAAAATTGCACTCCCACCTGATTCCTCCATCCTTGCTTTCCAGCAGGCTTTGACTTGGAGACTGAAGTCTGGGGTTCTAGTCCCAGCACAAATATTTAGTAACTTGAAACTTGAACAGGTTAATTAATCACAAAAAACCTTGTCTAAAATATGGGGATAATAATTCCTTTTTTCTCATAGGTTTTCAAGAAGATCAAATGAAATAATGTATTAAAAAGCACACTGAAAGTATGAAGGGCCAAAACTACCCCTAATATGTTGCTACTATTCTTACCTTGACTGTTTTCATTACAAAACCTGGGGTTTTGTGCCAGGAGTTCTGCCCGCATGTTCAACGAATTTTTAAAAAGCTTGAATCAGCAAGTTTAAAATGTAATATACTTTTTTGTTGGTCTTGCATTTTGTCTTACTTTCCTACATCAGACAATGATTAAATAACTTTGGTTTTAGACACTATAGATATTCAACTCATCTTCATTAGTGAAGAAGGAGATGTTTGTGAACTGCTATGGAGATGAAAAGTGCTGCAGGAGTGTTATTGGTATTCTCAAGTGGTTCACTTAATGGAACATTTGACCCAAATTTTAGAATCTCAGCCCCAAAGAAGCAGTAAAGGGGTGTAATAAAGGGAGATTGGGCTAAGGGAGATATAAACTGGATTTATAATCCTATATTGTGGGGATGCTTGCAAAGCCAAATAATAAGGGTAGAGTGTGGGAAAGAGTGGAGGTGGTTTTTCTCCCAGAGAAATTGTTCTCAAATTCCATAACTCATTTCCCATTGGAGAAGAAAAACTATCATCCTATTCCTCAGTGGTGAATCTCACATTTAAACGGATTCTCCTTACCTGCCTTACCCTCCCTCTACCCACTTCCACTGTCTCCATTAAACATGAACGGGAAAACTTTCGGTTAATTGAGAAATTCAATTCACTATACTAGCCTCTTCTTTTTTTTTTTTTATTATTTTATTTTTTTCCCCCAAAGCCCCAGTAGATAGCTGTATGTCATAGTTGCACAGCCTTCTAGTTGCTGCATGTGAGACGCGGCCCCAGCACGGCCGGAGAAGCGGCGTGTCCGTGCGCGCCTGGGACCTAAACCCAGGTCGCCAGCAGCAGAGCGCGCACCCAACCGCCAAGCCGGCCCAATATACTAGCCTCTTCTAATTGGCAAAGCTATCTAACCATATAAATTGAACTGAGCTAGGAAAGCCTCCATCTTTCACCTTTCTGGCCAAATACCTGAAAACAAACAAACAAACAAAATCTATTTGTGACCTCAGGGCAGGAGGGAATTGTAGCTGGACTGTCAGAGCCTCTAGACAATTTTACTTGAGTCTGTCTAACTATTTTCCCATTCTCTGCAACAACCCTTTCAGATCCTTGCCTCTCAAGTCCTCTACCCTACTGACCTTCCTGCCCGATACTGCGTTACGCATTTGATATGGTCTTTTCCCTATTTATCTTCAAAAACTCTTTGAGGTGGGTATTAGTATCTACAGTTTGCTAAGGGAAAAACTGAGACACAGAGGTTTAGTAACTTGCCTAAGGCCACATAGTTAGTGAGGGTTTGATCCAGAATTTGAAACCAGATTTAACTGAGTCTACTATGAGACAATGTCAAGGTACAGAGTAGGTGGGCGTTCAATAAATAGCTGTTGAATGAATGATTGAATTTTCCCCTCAAGTTATGCTCCTCTATTTCCATGGAGCTCCCTCTCACTCTCCTCTCATTCACATTTTTCTCCTTCGTGTGACCACAGCATTTCCTAGAAGATCTACTATCACATTTTTACCTTGTATGGCAGGTACTTATATGGTTATAAAAAGATATGGAAATACCCAAAGGGTGTTCAGGAATGAGACTAAGTTTGTCCTCATTTATGTGGTAGTTCATTCCAGAACTCTGATGAGCCTTAAAATGGATCAGCCTATCTATCTACCAGTCGGACAGGCTTCTCCTTGCTATATGTAGGGCACTTTCAAGAAAAGAGATCTGACTTGGTCTACTGGGATCCCATTTTCCTTGTCACTGGCAGAAGATTTCCATTAACTTGGGACAGTTGGGGTAAACGTGCTCTGGAATTATCCCATATGAGTGAAATGGCTTTTCTGCAGTGGAATCTAGATCTAGAAACACAAAACTTCTGTCACAGAGCCTGAGTTATGGATGGATACAAAATAGCAGTCTCCAAGTGTTTCTTTTTCTCTGTATAGACACCTATGAAACTCTAATATAACCTGGAAAAGCTTTTTTGACATAACAAGGATGGACTCACGTATTTTTCTTTCACCATAGAGCAGTCTCCATTCATGCTGAATCTTTAATCTAAGTACAAATTACATTTTAGTTTCTAATGCATTAGCTTCTCCCTAAATGAGAAAGGCCCTGCTTAACATCTTTCCCTTTAATCAGTTGTGCTAGTTGGTATAGATCAAAACTGTTTTTCCTGAATAGTTACTTGTCTTGAAATCCCAAGTGCCATAGTCTCTTTGTTGTTGTTTCAGTAAAAATAGCAGCAAATTATATCTTTATAGAAATAGCCCAGCTATAAATGAAGAAACTCCCAGTGAATCAATGGATTTAGGCATTGATCATTAGTGGCTGCTAACATTGCAAAAAATGAGAAAATTGGACATCATGTGCCTCCAGATAGAACACACAACAACCTATGAAATGGTCTTTTAAAAAAAAAACGAAAATCTGAATTGGATCAGGCCTCTAAATTTTTAAAAGTAAAAATGTCAAATTTATGGAAAATAAAGAAGATAGAGTAATGTATTAAACAACCTATGGGGATGCAATAAAAAAGTCCAGACTGTAGGAAACTCTACAGGACAAACAACTTATCTACATCAACAAATTAAACAAAAAACGACACGGGGCAAGGAAGAGGGAAGCCTAGAGATTAAAACAGACTTTGGGAGATATGTCA